AACCTTAAGTTACAAAATAATGCCTGGTTTTCTCTTTTGCTAGATAAAGGATGACAGGTAAATGAAAGTTTATTTACCTAATTATTCCTTTGTTTTTGTCTGTTGTTGTTTATTCCCATGCATCTGAATCAGTAAAATTTTGATAATTATTCAGAAGAAAAAAAAGATCGGTCGGGTTTTCTCGTCTTTTTCCGTTTAACAAATAGATTCCATGTTGCCGTGCGTTTGTTTATGATCACAGATGACGCCAAAATGTGGTAAAAACAAAGAAGTGGCACACGAGCCGCAGGCGAGTGTGTCACTAATGTTTTAACCACATTTTGGCGTCATCTGTGATCTGTTACTGAAGAGACGCACAGCAACATGGAATCTATTTGTTAAACGGAAAAAGACGAGAAAAGCCGACCGATCTTTTTTGTAAATAGCTCCTGCTAAGTTTTTTTAGGCTTTCACTTGCTTTAATCCGAAATAATGTCACAAACATTTTCAAAACCGCGCGCCATGTTGAACAAAACAATCAAAACAAGTTTTCCGTGATGTCATTCATGTATCTGTCCTCTGATAGATCATGGGCAACGACCAATCACAGCGCTCGTAGCATTCACATCATTGTATAATTAACAGTTAATGAATGAGGCTGAGTATCTTATGAAGAATTATGGAGATCGAGGAGGGTGTTATCCGTCGAGGCCGTAGGCCGAGGCGGATAACACCCTCCGAGATCTCCATAATTCTTCATATGATACGAAAGCCGAATTCAATAACTGTTTTATTATTCATTCAAAATATTTCCTAGTTTAAAAACATAGCTAAAAACATGCTTACCTCCATCGATCCATCGATGTTCAGTTCATCTTCGATACTGTACGTTTAGGTTTGTCCAGCTCCGCAAATATTCTCCAGATAGTAGATGTCGCCCTTCGAGTTGTCTTCTTGCTGTTCTTTCCATGTTTTTAGCCATGTTTTCGCCTAGTTCTTACTCTTGAAACGAGTGAAATGTCCGCCATTTTTTCAAGTTCCCAACCAAAACAACTCAACCTCGTCCCCAGGTCTTCTCGGTTAACGGTGCCTTAACCTGCGAAAAGCTGCATTTTTGACGTCATTTCCTCGTTAAAGTCAAATTTCTTCCAAATTTGGTCAACAGTAACTGGTTATGGTGAATTAAACGTGTGCTTTTAGCCAATCAGATTCGGTGAAATATTTTGAATGAATAATAATTTAGTTTTACTTATATAGATGGTTTTCATAGTGACGTCATCAAATTGTTAAGTCAAAATAGCGAGGTTTTACGAATTCTCAATTACACTAGGTTGAAGGTAAACAAAATATAAATCTTTGTACAAGTTTCCAGTCCAGGAGCACGTTCCATTTCGAAAATACAGCAATTTGAACTTCCGAGTTTTCACAATGCGTGACACTAAAATAGGAATGCTGCCTCGTTGAAAAAGTCTCTCCTCTTGATTTTCAGCAGTATAACCATTTCAAGTATTAAAAGATATGATTATGTGCACAAAGGTGCGTGAAACACTCGGCAAATAACTCAGAAACTGTGGGCCACAGTGACCTGAGACTTGGAAAAAGTGTTTAGATATTTGTCTTTCAACATTTCATTTTCTTGGTTTCTTCCACTGGACGGTTTCCAATTTATTTTTTTTGCTGCGTGACAGTGAAAACGATATATAACTTTCTTCCTAAAGTTACTTCAGTATTAAAAACACCAAATTAAATTCGCTAGGACAAAGTCGATATCTGTGGACAACATTTTTCTATCACTTTCTCAGCAGCCGTCATGCGGGCATTCAATTTTTTTTCCTATTTTGCAATTCAAAATAGTTTACGTTTTTGAAAGCAGTGATTACAGAAAAAACATGGCGGAGCTGTTCGTTGACCCATGCCGATGATGGCAAGGTAGCCTTTGTTAAAGCAAAATGAAAAGGTTCTTGAAGGATAAACATCAGATTTCTTGTTTTGTAAAACTATGCAGAACATATGAATGATGTTCTCTAGCTGACGGATAAAGAGGCCATCGGCTTCATCTCTTTTTCTTGCAGCTTATTTGACGAGTAAGTCCGTCATAATGTGCTTAAGAAGTTCGTAAAATTATGACAATAAATAAAGGCGCTACTGCTATATAGCGAACTAAGAGAAAGACTTAAGGAGCACTGAAAAAGTTAGTACTAAGTGGACTGCCAAAATACATATTTGGCATGTATTCGAAATAACGCTGTGTTGTTGCCTCGTGAGTAAGGTAAAATATCTTAGTCGATCCGATATCATGTCGTACTTTGCATTAATGAATTGTTACATTGAATTATTGAATTACCAAGAAGCAAACACGCAATCAGAACAAAGTTTATTTGTGTGCGTGTTTGTAGAAAAATGACGTTATTAAGAGTAGGCGACACTTGCAATTTAACATGTACAGTTCCAACCAATTAGAAACACGTTCCTGATCGAATTGGAGTTTAGCATGTTGTGTTTTGAGGATCAGGGGAGAAAACTAACTCACATGTGTTCGTACCCCCCACCCCCAACCCCCAACAAAATATATTTTTTTTATTTTCGTGTTACTAGCCATGCAACTAAGAAGAGGTCTTTTGTTTAACTCCACTCGTTACGTTGGTTACTTTGTTTCTATAAGCAAGTAATTGGCCCATTTCGGTCAGTAATATTTACGGGTTTAAATGAAGTTCCGGTTAATTAATGGATCAAATGTCATTTCAATACAAAAATAGAAAATGATCTGATTCGCATAATTAATTTATATTTGCATAACATGTTGTCCTGTAGCTACTTTGTCCTTTGCTTTGTAACGTTACTGGTAGTTATATGACCTTATATTTATTTGTTAAGACTTGGAATTGTGTAAAATGGAGCAAATGCTCTTTACATGTGATTATTTTAAAGTCACGTGTAGGGAAGTTCACTTACAGTCATTACATTATTACGTAAATTTCGAAGGTGGGTATATGGCATTTGTTGTTTCAACTGCGGGATTTAACATCTGAAAAGTCATCCCTTTTCCTGGTTGGCCAGAAAACTCGGTAGAAGGAGTACTGCGTCGGTATCGCAGAGGTCATTGGATCTAATCCCGTTCAAGCATAACTGAGATATATGGAATTAAATTAATAATTTCGCGAACAAAATTTTAGATTTGGAGAACACTTTTCCAACAGATACTAATTTTTATTTAGATAATTCGCTTTAGTAAAGTAAGTTTACGCCTTAAAAGACGTCACAATCACCTTTTTATAGTGTTCGTTGGTTGTGCTTTTTTCCCTTAGGTCTAATTCCAGAAAAATATGCAGCAGACCCGATGATTGGTCACTGTAACATGACGTATTTTGTTGCAGAAGGACAGAAGTGTCAGAGGATGATGATGTCAAACTTAAAACACAAAACCAATGCTAACTGCAAGTACGTCTAGCCTTCCATTTACTGAACTTGATCTAGATCAATTTAGATTTCTGGGAAACTGCCCACGTACCCCTCCCCTAAGCCAACAGTTTGCCTTAAGTGGGAAGTAAGTTATAATGTTGACTTAGGGAAGGGGTAGGTGGTCAGTTTTTTAGAAACCTAAATTGATCCCTTGACCCTTTCTGACATTTTTCTTCTGGTGGCAGTAGAAGAACCTCCCTGACTAAAAGTGGGGATGACGATAATGATAGCGATTCCAGAGCTGCAAATTGTCAGTTACGGGGCTACTCACATACCGTATTTATTCGATTAACCACCCTGGGCGCTTATTAAATTTTTGGAACGTGATTGTGGACGCTTATTAAATTTTCACCATTTTCAGCAAGTGTAGTATGTTTATTTTGCAACAAAACAGTAAATACTAATAAGTAACAAAGCAAGATTTCCATAAAATACTCTGAAGTATTCGGGGAAGTCTCTTATTACTACTTAACAGTATTCAATTTCAATTTCAATCTCATTGTCACTCAAGTGGATGTGGTGAGGGTGGGCGGTTATTTGAGTTTAATTGGGAGGGGGAGGGGTGGAGTGGGCGCTTATTAACTTTTTCTGCCTTTAGGATGGGCGCTTATTCGAGGTGGGCGCTAATCCGAGGTTGGGCGATTTTTCGCATAAACACGGTATATAGACTATACGGGTATCAAGATACAGTAAAACCCGCGACTAAGAACCTGGTTTTTAAGAAACTGTTAAGCTAAAATTTGTCATTTAGGTTAGTCAATACAAGAACCTGTTCAGCCTAAAATTTGAATCAGGTTCTTACTTTCTAAAATCTATTCTATTCTTCAGAAAATATGAACCTATTTAAGAGTCTAAATAGCCTAAATTTGTGCTAATTTCCATATTTGTAAGAACCTATTTAGGCTAACTTGGGAAAATGCAGGTTCTTAGTCGCGGGATTTTTACTCTATGCTTTTTGCCTCTGACTCTGGAAAAGGGAACAATAATCACTTTATATCTCTGGAAGATGGGTATATTTTACTTCAGTTTAACTCTGGAACAGTGTCGATTTTTTCCCCATAATTCCTGATTATCCTTGATCAAGCTTTGGTGCCAACTCGCAGACTAATTAGTTAGTTTCTGAAACAGGGTCGCAAATTTTAAAAGACGGAATCCATCAAAGACTCGACTACGCATCCCTATAGTAATTTAAATTTAAGAAATAATTATTTATAGTAATTTCAATTTAATTCAAGGGAGGAATTTCAATTTTAGTGGGTCATCAGATTATTAGTCAGTTTAATTACTTTCAAGTGTTACCCTCTTTAAATAAAGTGTTTATCACCGGCATCATCATCATCATCATCATCATGATAATGGTCTTCATCATCCTCAAGGAAGTACCCCTGCGGAAAGTAACCTGACTCGATTTGAACTCTATGACCCTTTTAAAAGTGAAACATCAAAAACTTTCCATCTGCTTGAGTTCGTTAGGTAGTAGCAGTGACGTCATCAATATTGAACGTGTAACTTGTAACGTGTAACTTTAATCGCTTTATGTTAATGTCATATCGCTTTTTCACAGCCTTGAATATCAGAGTCAAACGTCATGCTTAACGCGTCACGTATCATCTTGCCTCACGGATCTTTACTCTGGCTTTGTGCCAGCTGTCACATCCTTGCTAAAGCTGTTGAGTTACCACTGTGGAGATTTACAAGTAGATCCAGCCTTGATAAACCAGTTCTTGCTCAGCCAGATTCAATGCAGGTCCGACGTTTTCTCTAGAACTGTGCAATGTTGGGATAAGTTTCGCGATAGATTCAACAACGACAAGGCAGATTCCAGACTCTGCAGGTAGGAAATAAACTCTTGCCACATTATAAGAAACAAGATTGGGCCTTAGACGAATTCTCTGTAGCATTTAGCAACAAAAACGTAAAACTTGTTTTGAAACATTGCTGCAAAACGAGTTTAATAGCGACGTTGCGCGTTATACCTGTCTCCCAACAAATCACGTTGTTGCAAGGTGCAAAAAGTTGTTGCGGAAGAAGAGAAAAGTTCTAGTTTTTACAATAAAATCTGTACACGTTGCGCCTTTTACAGGCCCAAGATAAAATTGTTTTGCAGAAAATGACGTGGCCCCCGTGCATACAAGAAATGATTCTGGCTAGCATCCTTTTCTGGCAAAAAAAAACATATCATGGAATGATTGATTTCCATTACAATTTTAATTTATTCAGCCTCTTACTCGTTTCTAACTTGATCGTTACAAACTGAGCCAAGAATAAGGTTTTTCTTAATGTCAGGTTGCTCTAGAGGACGTTTTCTTGGAGGTAAAGTGCCATATTATCCTACTGTATTTCAACCAAGATTTACATGAATCAGCGCAAAAGTGAACCTTTAACACATTGCCAGAATAAAATATATTATGCATGGTGTGGCCCGTGTTTATATTAACATAAAACAACAACAGAAGTGTCAAATTCGCTAATGGTCTAGTTAAGATCGGCATAACCAGTTTGTGGATTGGAAGAAATGCGGATATTGTTCTGGGCATGTGCTGATAAAATGTTTTTTGATTTTTCGGCCATACTCTTGTGTAGGGATTATGCTGAGGCAAAGGACTGTGTGACACAGCAAGCAAAGACTGGGTGTGCAATTGGACAGTACATCAATAGGGACCTGTTTAACCCTTTTTGCACTTACAATACAGATCCACCATTGAACAGCTCAGGTACAACGTTCAACTGTCTTTGTTTTCTCACTGTAACCCCCTGCAAATGATTGCCGAAGATTGAGATACAGCTAGAGATAACTTTTGATATTCAAATTGAAATATTTTAATATTTTACCTTATGTAACAAGAGTTTAAGGCATTTTACGATTAGCATTGAAATTAGCAATTTGACTTGAATTAGTGAAGAGGAATTTTGTCCCACTCGGTTTTTGGCGATTTAAAGCAATATTTCTACACTACTGCGAGGTGCTTTTTCAAGAAAGTTGTACGTTCTATCTGTAAAGTTTTCATGGAAGATTTCAGTTAATTATGTTGCTTCCTTTCCTCACCTTTCTATTGTTATTATTATTTTTTTTTTTGCAGGACCGATAGTCTTGATTGGTCGTTGCGATACTCAGAAGTTTGCATCCTCTGCTTATTCTTGCCAGAGAGAGATGATGACCAAATTAGCAAGAGCAGACAGTGGAAGCTGTCGGTAACAGAAAAGTCATTCACTTAGCTCAGTATAAAAACCTAACTGTTAATTACATTATCGCCCTCAGAACTCCGATCCTTTTGGCCAGCGCCACGGATTGGCTGCTCAGGTTGGGGTCCAAAGATATAAGGGACATTAGTACTGTCTGTTTGTAAAATGGAAAGCTACTGTGCTTGCGCGTTATCTTGGTCAGGCCAGAGCTCTCGATTCGTGACACTGACCTCAAGGAACGCAGCTCTAGGGACAAGAATGAAGCACTTCGGCGAATATAACATGCCTGGTTACTTGACTCTTCTTGTAGAAACGCGCTTTCTTAAAATCAAGTCAAAATAAAAACAAAAATACTTAAAATCCCTGGTGAGAGTTTTAGATTCAGTATCACAGGTACATCAAAGACTCAGGCTAGCTTTTGCGCCGCCGAATAGTGCTTCTGTTTACACATAAGGGCGCTTATGGCGGCGCGATTTCTACGACGGAGCAAAGCTGCGCCGCGCGGATCTCAAAAGTAGAGTTTCACACTTCGGACAGGTTTCATGCCTTACACTTTTGCAGTGTGAACACCTATTCGGCCCGTCCCGGAAGTAAAGAAGTAGGAGCAAGGCTTGGAACCAACTCTGCCGGAAGTAAATATTCGAGAGTGAGGACTGGAATCTGGTACACTAAACCCTCTCGACCAACCGGGCCGGCACGATGTTCGATGTGTGTGAACGACTTGTGCAGCCCCGAGTCGTAGCTGGTCACACTATACCGGATAGCTTCCGGTGTCGTGTGAACATAGCCTCAATACTCGAAAAGAGAGGACATTTTCTTATACTTTTCAACTTTTCTTTTCGTAGGGACCAATATGATAGGCTAAAGTCTTGCTTGTCATCGATCATGGAAGAATGTCTTACTGGAACGTCGCTCTCTGCCCTCCAAGATAAAGTCCGTGAACTAGTGCAAACAGTACTTTACCACTGCGGTTCTCTTATTGCAGAAAACTTGTCGATCGATTCCTTACTAATGAATATACTTAATTGCAACAAAAGTATGTTTCAAACGTCCGTCCAATGCTGGGATGAATTTAGGCTGAGGCTGCTACTGAACAAATTTGACAAGCAACTTTGTGTGTAAGTTTCAATTTTTGTATTGCAGTTGACAATACTCCATAGTACTCTAAATATGTGTTTAAATAGTAGAAACTTAACAAGCACAGTATCATAAAATCACTAAAGTTCGTTTTTACGTGACCTCAATGCGGCCATATTGGTGTACAAAGAAATAAAACAGTGGCCATGTTGGTGTACCAAAAAGACACTTTGGGATTGAACTATTTTGGAAACTTCTTTACCAAATTAAATCATTTTGCGATTTTTTTGAGTAAGAGGGAGATCAAATGATAAATGATCTTAGTACAGTGTATTTACCAAATCAGTGAACAGCAATTTTCGCGCGTGTCGATTGGCTCCCGTAACTCGGGAATATCCTTGGCTATTCACCGTTTTGCGATCGGAGCTAAGGTGGCGTTTCAAGACATTTTGGAAAGACGAAACAAATACCAAGAAAGCGACGAACATTGGCTTGTCAGTGTTTACTGGTAGGTAGAAAATCGTTTTCATGCTGAATTTGCAACAAAATGGTAAAACTGCGCTTGACAAAATCCCCGAAATGTTTTAAAATTTAAACAAAGTTCCCACTAAGTGACGTTTTTAATTTACAAATGTTTATTTTTTATTCTTATCCGACTGATTTGGTAAATACTAAACCAACTATCCCCCTCAGGGTCGGTTCGTAGCTCTAGATGTATACCTCTACGCTTCGCATCTCGGTATATCGACACCACTATTCCCCTTCCCTTCGGGGGATAGTTGTATACTATTCCAGAAAAACTAAAGCGACCGTAACGTATGGAATGAACAATTTTAATGGTTAGAAGTGGATGTTTAGGTGTGTACTCGTGACACTGAAACAAATGACGCTTCTCGATTTCAAATTTTGTAAACCAAAGGTTATCTTTCATAATGGAATTGTAGATTGCATGAAGTTTGATATCTTCTGGACTAAGCAAGCTGTGCGTAAAAAAGAGATACCACCATTGCGATGGGTTCCAAAAGGAGTGGTTCAACTGTACACAGGTTGTTAAAATACCCTTGCTAATAAACGTTCCCTGGATACAAGAGATTTTTCACGCGCGGTTTCCGGTTACCATCAAGTCTCATACGGCTTCGCTCTTCGCGTGGCTTTGGCCTTCGGTCGAGGATGTGCCAGCCTGCGGCCGACCTCGAAGCATCCCACCGCACGCGACAAAAAACTTCTGGTCCTGGTTGTTGAAACGTTGAACAGCGTTATCCATCGGATAAATCACTATCAAGCGGATAAGTATTACGACAAACAATTGCGCTATCCAATTGATAGAGATTTATCCAGTGAATAGCGTTATCCGAATTTTGAACCACTAGGGCCTGGTAACCAGGGTATAATAACAACTTCTAATATTTGAATATTTGTACCAATTGCTGCCTGAGAATGATCAGAAGACCTTTCACTTGTTCTAACCTTCCTCATCACGTTCTTCACACTCAATGCTACTCACGTTGTGTTACAGGGACTATGCTCGTTCTAAGCAGTGTGTCTTAAAGGCTGTCAAACAGGGATGTGCTATTGGCGATCTAATGGAAGAGGATCTTTATAACCCATTCTGCATTGATGGCATAGATCCACTTAGCTTGCCACCTGCTTCAGGTGTGTCCTTTTCTCTGTGGGTTTGACGCATTAGTTTTCGAAGTTGACAGGAACTATTTTCTCCAGCTCCAAGACTAGTTTATGACATAGCTAGAATATACACTTAAACAAATTCAATAACGCGAGCGTGTTTCATGTTCCCATTGAGTACGTTGATGACGTCAACAAATTAAAACCTCGACTTCTTGTGAGCTTCGCAATCCTCTTCGCTGCATTCAGTTACAGTTCACAAAGAAGCATTTACCTGTTTTATCATGTCTGTAATCTAAAGAGAAACACTTTTGAATTTGTTAACAGATAATAGGGGAATTGAGGTGAGTGCTATCGTTACTGTCATCTGTGCAAGTATAGCGTGTGCAAATCCTCGAGATGCAACCAGCGGTAATTGCTTTTAGTATATACTAAAACAGTAGATACTGTTTTTCTCGATTTGATTGGTTACTCAAAGTAAAACGGCAAGAAAACGCGACGTCCGTTCGGTCATTTGCGCGCCAAAATTGTAATCGTCGGCAGCAGTAAATGAGTTAAAAACCATGATTTACTAACCACCTCCACTTCGTAGTGCTAGGAACGCATATTGAAACATCTTTATCAATATCTATTAGTGGTTTATTTTTTCGTACAAAGAATGTTTAAAGATTTATGGAAGGCTAACTTAAGCGTAATCATTATTATGTGTTTGTGATATTCCGAAGGCTGTTTTTGAACATTGATGATAGAGAGAGGCTTCAAGTGTACACTCACTTAAAGCAAAAAATTATTAGACGTTACTCCAACTAGAACTTACTTTTCCTTAGTAAATGCATTGAAAAAACGTGCGGTGGCCGCGCGGGGATACGAGTTTTATCTTCGAGTGCTGACAGTATCTCTCACTCGTTCGCTTCGCTCACTCATGAGAGATACTTTCAGCGCGAGAAGATAAAATTCGTATCTCCAAGCGGCCATATAATCAGTTCTGTTTATTTTATAGATACTGATGAAATTCCTACATGAAACACTTTTTTTTTATTCATTTTCGAAACAGCAAAATAGTGTAATTAAAGTGGTCACCTATCGGTAAATGCCTGTCACAAAAATGTTATGAAACTCAGATATAAAGTTATAAAGGAGAAATAAAGACAATGATACTTAGTAACCTGAGCGGGAAGCTCTCTTGTAATTGGCTAATCATGTTAGTAACCATGGCGACAGCAATAACCTCACACGTGAAAGATAAAAATAGTATATTCACTACTGCGCGCGATGATCATGAAGATATGATTTTTTAGTAAAAGGAAAAATCCTGGTATTTCAATAGTATCTATATAATAAAATTGTTTGTACGGGAACTAAAGTTCATTTATTGCATTTCCTCTTGTTTTTTCTTTGCAGCTCTTCCTTCAAGTCAATTCAACTTTGTTTGCACAAATGCATATTTTTACGAAAAGGCAGTTACGTGTGAAGATGACTTTTTAAACGCTCTTTATTCAACAAGAGTTATTACTAACTGCAGGTTTGTGTAATCTTGCAATGTGCAGTTTTGATTAGTTGATCACCGTTTCGTTAATATTTCTTCTAGGTATGATAAACTTAAGCACTTTTAAGTTTGTATAGAAACTTGTTTAACCCACGATGCTTAACGAATGTTCAATAGTGAATCCACTAAGCCGCCTGTTTTTTTTTTCTTGTTTGTTTGTTTCATCCTAGAAAGCAATCTCAGTCTTTTCTAGACTGTCTAAAGGCTCATTTTGAACCTTGCGTCAGGCCACATTCTAATCCGGTATTATCAGAGGCATTGAGTACGCTGGTTCTGCAAAGCTTACAGGGGACCCAACTTCTATGCAGTTCGCCCATACAGCAAATCACGTGGGATGACCTTCCTCCACTCCTTCGATCGGTTGCATCGTGTGAAAATGAGTTTACTTCGGAAGCAGCTAGTTGTGGAAAAACTTTTCGTTCAAAGTTCATTCCGGTTCCTTCACCACTGTGTGAAGAGTTTGAGGACGCCAAGAAGTGTATAGACAAGGCTAGAGAATCTCACTGTTCATTTGGCTTTCAGGCCAGGGAGACACTCAAGGGAAAATCAAATCCATTTTGCGACAACAGAACCCGAACGCTATTCAACGACGATAGCATCTGCGAGAAAGTAGATTTAATACTGTCATTCCTCAGTGTTATGTTAGTTTTATCAAATAACCTATTTTAAATGGGAATTAATATAAGATATCCATCTTTTAATCTGAATTTTCCGTTGAAAAAATTTTTGGCCAATAATACAACACTCATAGCATTCAGGTATTCATTCGCCAGTATTATATTAGCGGTGCCCCACGCCAGTGCGCGCGAGCGGAGCCTCATACTTAAGAAAATTTGAGAATCTATCTATCCGACAAAATTTGGTAATAACGTCAGCGTACGACCGAACGCTGGCCGTACAGCCTTTAGGGGAGGGGGAGGGGAGTCTGGAATCAGCCCGTCGGGGGAGAAATATGTTATAGCTGAGGTAAAAGTTTTGCATTTCAAGCACCCTGCTCGTTTCGGCGGTAAATCACATGGCCGCCCGAACTTTTAGAGGAAAAAAAACGAGTCTTTCTTTCCACTAAATTTTAATGTCCACATTAACTTGCATAACAGGGAAAGAGCTAGAGCGAGCAATGAATAACAACGGAGACCAATTTCGTTGGAAGAAAAACATGAAAATTGTATAGCGGCGGTGAGAGTGTGCTGCACGTGCAAAGTTTTTTTTTGCTTATTAGAAAAAAGGGTGCTGCACGTGCAAAGTTTGTTTGTTCTTGCCAAAAGCGTAACAAATATCATAATGAGCTAAAATATAAAAGAAACTCCTTTGATATTTATAATGTCTCTCGAAGCGAAAATCGGCGCCGATTTAGATATAATTATAATCAAAACAGTATGCATAAGGATAATTAAATGGGCAGTGATGTAAAATATCCATGTTCAATCTGGAGCTTCAATTGAAAAATGTTTGCCATAGCATTCTGGTATTCATTTGCCAGTGTTTTAATAGCGTTGTCATGCATGTACATGTTCCGATTTTAAATGGGAAGTAATATAAAATATCTCTGTTTTCCGGGGGGTAGTCCTGAGAATTCTTGGCGGTGGAGTGTCGCCTTGTTCTCCAAATCCTGACCCTATTTCCGACCAAAAAATGTCATTTTCCACGACCGTTTTGAGACCTCAGTGGCTTCTAAAATCCATACCCGTTTTCAGACCTGGCTCACAGACTTAAATTACAACATCATTACTTATATAAGATGGCCAAAAAAAAGATTTCTTAAAATCAGTTGCAAATTCGCATATTTAATACTCTTTCTTTCTTTCTCATTTCGAATTGGAACGAAAAATACTTTCATACACACCCGAGGTTCACTCAAAAAGCATTTCCGAGCATTTTTTTTTTGTACCTAATATTTATTGCTAGATTCAGGTATTCAAAAATCCTGTAGTTATGACCTAAGGGACTGTTAACATGAAGGGAGGAAGAATTTAGCACCAAGAAAAAATCCTCGAAGGCAAGAAAACTTTCCGTTGGATTCACATGCAGAAATTTCGCTCCTAGCTTGTGGTCACCACTGATTACGTAGAAGAGGAATTAGCGGGTAACAATAACAGAAATACAGTTTGGATCCTTCAGCTCTCGGTACTGGCGTTAATAACTACTTTTCAGCAGAATTATCACAACTTCACCTTGTAGTAACTCCAAACGAAATGGTCGGCCTTCAATGCCGTGATTATCCACTTAACGAACCGCTGCCATCTTTGTCTTGTTTTTCCATAGTACCAGGATCTTCGCACCTCTCAGCTAAGAAGATTCTAGTACTAGAGAGATATCCTATCGCTAGGACCAGTGCAACCCTTTTCAGGTAAACTGGATACAGAAAACTATAGAAAACATGTGGCGCTAGCATGATGATCTGCCTTTAAGGATCTTCCTGGTGCTAGAGGATCCTCCTACGTCCATTTAAACAGCCATTTTGACGATAACATAATTTGACTACCTGAAGTCCTTTTGTTTTCCTTTGTTATTTAAATCTAGTATCCCCGTTAGGTATAAACAACAATAGCGGGAATTTGTACAAGAAAGCAATATCTCGAAATTTGGAATTTGAAGTCAAATGGCTTGGGTTTTTGTGTAAATGGATTTCTGTACCATACCCCACACACTATTTTAGATATAATAAACAACCATGATATAGTTTCTATTATTTTTATTCTTAAAGTCACCAGCTTTAGATTATATAATGGGCTGTATATTACCCTTTTGTAAATATAAAAAATATTATAAAGATGTCAAATATGCAAAAATTTCTGAAAGAAATGCAAAACACTGATTAAAAATGAAGCATCCATACTAGGCTCGGTCCGAAGCCATGGCTGTCTCGATTCGCCCACGATTCCTTCATTTGCCACCACAACATTACGGCTTCCGTAATGCAACAGCAGCCAAATATTGTTAATATCCAACGGCCAGTAGATAAATTTTGCGCTAGAGGAATCGCGGATGCATCGAGACACCCACGCCTTGATCTCCGGAAACCTTTGCTCGATGCAACTTGACGCGTTATAGAGAAGCGAACAAAGTGTTCTATTTATAATGATGATTATGATTGTAATGAGTAGTACCTCTCCCTATATTAACAGCACCGTGGAACATCTACGAAATGAATAAATGAGTGAGTGGTAATCACTCGGATTTCTTTGTATTTTGGATGAAAGTGCTACCTATACATGTCATAAATAACGGGAGTGCCATTTCTCAATTGCAAGGTGAACGTAAAATGGTGAAACCTACAAAGGCCACTGTGGGGCATCAATTGCTGGACGCAGAACGTAGCCGTTGTGAAGACGTACATTGTAGGGGTTTAATAAAAGCTGCTACTAAACTAAGAATTAAAATATGAATTATCTTCATTTTTTCTTCTGACGCCCAGTTCTCACTAACGACGTAAGAGAAAAAGCTGCTCATTTTAACGTTGAAACGGCCTAAACGCACCCATCAAGTTTGAGTAGACGCAGCGAGAGAAATCAAACTTTTTTTTGGCTTGGGTGTGTTCGTGCTTGGGTTTGGACTATGTTCTGACCATAATGGTGAAAGGCCACACCGTTTGTTATAGTTCATTGGAAAACAACTTTTCGATCATAATTTTAAAGTATTACAACTCAGGAGTCAAGGATATTGAACTAGTTGAAGGATAAAAACTGGCTGATTGTATTCTTTACAGCTCGCCTAACTTCTCCCATTTTCCAAAAGTAGAGAATTGGATTAAGCGTCGAATTCAGGAAAACAAGGGTGACGGTACATTGTCTAGCAAGAAAGAGAGGCGAAGACATAACCCTATTAGCAGAAAAAGCCACCGCTATTCCATAAGGTAGATAGCAGACCACCAGCATCAGCTGCAACCACAGTGCATTGTAAACTGCTTTCCTGTATCTCATAAGGTTGACCGTAGTTCCTTGGCACGGTCCTCGTTTATTACGATCTCGTACTTGAGTTTTCCGATGACGAAGAATAAGAAAAATCTTGCTGTAAGAGGCAGTTGAGATCAAAAGAAACAGCGATATTGTCATGTAGCCTCCCCAGAACGTTACACGGTAATCCCAGAAAAACGTGGTGGTGCCGGCTGTGGCTCCGACCCAAAAGACCGCGACAACCGCATACGTTCGCTTCATCGTCACTACTTTTCTATATCTTAGACCCAGCACAAGTGCGAGGAGACGATCGACGCTTATTGCAGTCAAGGTACACAAAGATACCGAGATTAAAGTGTAGCCAGCTCCCAAAGACATCAATGTGTACCTACAAATTTCCCGTCGTCCGTGCAGGAACGAGATCCAAAACGCAACTGTTAAAGGCTCTGCAATGAGTCCAGCGCAGAGATCGGCTGTGGCTAGACAGCGAAATAAAAGTTTGGACGGTGAATGAAGGGATGATTCCCTATTAAGAGCAAATAGTATTATAGTGTTCCCTAGAACTGCAGTAACAGATAGTAATGCATTTATAACTGAAAGACAGGTCAACTGAAAGTGAAGTCTACTTGTTAAACCCGCTGAGCAAAGAAACCCTGGTAATGCCTGCATTTCATCCTCTGTAAAATTTTCTGTTTCCATCTGCCTTCAACACTGACAGAGCTAAATGTATAACGTTTCGCGCCGTTATACTGATCAGAACATAGCTTCGTGCACCAGCTTTGTGACTTTTTGTCCGTTATGGAAATATCGGTAACATGAAACCAACTTCCTCAATTAACTTGAGTGCTGTTTACGTTAACGTCAATATTAGTGGTTTTCACTGTCAAGCCATCAAAACTAAAAACGGAAACCTTTTAATACAGCAAGTCTAGAATCCGGGAAATGAAAGAAGATAAACATACAAAAAGCCTTGCTAAGAATCAGGTCTGTGCAATATTTTATATGCGAGACGTTCAGAAAAACGTTTTACCCACTGCAGATTTATAAAGCTTTGTATGGAGACGCCGTGTTTGTGTCCCTTTCAGAGGGACAAATATGGCCGCCGGAAACCAACAGAAACATCTGTTTTTGAGTTTTCCTACTAATGCGTGAATTCGTCGCTTAATGAACGCATAAAGATTAAAGTAATATTTATTCTGAGAGAAGGAATGTTTAGAACATTCCTAACCTAACCCTAACCCCTAACCAAAGATTTGTTTCTATAAAGGTTTTAAGGTGCTCTAATACCAAATGAAAGTAGAAACTCAGACCAAGCGATAGTTTCTTAGCTTGAATTTTGGTGACGTCATGTGAAAACCAAGAATTACCGTGGAAAGATGAATCAAGCGAAAAGGCTGTCTTTCAATGACAATAATTCACAAGCTTCTGTTTAATTTTAATTATTATCGTGTCAGCTGTGTGACTTAAACGTTTTAGGAAATGAGATGTCCTAGTTTTTAGTTAATATTCCTTATCTACTTCTTGTTTTTTTCGGTGTGATTCTAGCGTTCTTCGTAGACCTTTGTCAGGTTTGTCGGCGATTGATACGAAACCGAATATGCCCGTTTTTAAAACCAGGTGCCCTCAGTATCGTCATTATGCTCTATACTGGAGAAAAAGTCCATACAGGCGAAAAATGTATATCATTCTATTACTATTATGTAAATAAGAATGCGAAAGGAAAAGACTGACTTGTTTATTTTTCTACAATGATCACCTGTCCTACATACAATTTAAAAGCCAATATCCGATGCTGCAGTTAAAACGTGCACGTCAGTGTACTGAAAATTCCGCATATTCAGAGTAAATATGTTATGCTTTTTGGAGGATATCAACGTAAAAGGAAATCATAATATTAAATTTCTTCGTTATTCCCGGTGCTGTTATGTTGGGAGTCCAAAAACTGAGGAAATAATTCTAAGCTGTAAAATAAAGCCAACTTAGAGCCAGCGACATAACATAAAAACCCATGTTTTAAAAATTCAGCTTATGCATTTTTTAAAAGGCACACTCTTGCAAGATTTCGTCTTAAAATAATTTTTTCAGACTGATGTGGAAAGTCTGATAGTTTGAGTGTCCAAGGTGACGTTAAACGTTGGAAGCGTTTAAGTCCAGAGAGTGACCAAATCAATTTTCTCATAACAAAATTCATGCATAGAGAGAATATTCTTTTATCTTCATGAACGTCTCCCAACTTACTCTTTAAAGAAGTGAATAGAGATTTAGTCTCGAGAATTTGTATGTAGATGTATAGTGCCAAGAGACTATAAAGGGAACAGAGAGGGCATCCCCCATATACACCCTATTCCATAGGTAATTCGTCTCGAGTTATTTTTAGAATCGGGATAAAGTTACCTCGCGCGAGGCGTGGATGTTTCGTGGAGGTTTCGCATGACCAAACGCCGTGCAAAACATGTCGGGCGAGAGACAATGAAAGTGTAAAAAGATCAAGAGCATTCCTGAATATTGAAGCGAAATGAGTCGGGGCTCACCTGGGAAAAAGGAATCGCTGGACTCTTTGACAACCCGTGAAATCAGTTTAACTCGAAGTTGTCGTAACCTCAGTGCTTTAATAAAATGAGAAATTTCGCCGGTCTATTGAAACCGGTCGTTTGTACAATTTAGGGAGTTTAAGATCCAACGACGCGGATGACAACTAGAACGTCAAAAAAAAAAAACAATAGGTTTAATTAGCAAAACAACAACTTCGCACGTGCAACANGATGTGGAAAGTCTGATAGTTTGAGTGTCCAAGGTGACGTTAAACGTTGGAAGCGTTTAAGTCCAGAGAGTGACCAAATCAATTTTCTCATAACAAAATTCATGCATAGAGAGAATATTCTTTTATCTTCACGAACGTCTCCCGACTTATTCTTTAAAGAAGTGAATAGAGATTTAGTCTCGAGAATTTGTATGTAGATGTATAGTGCTTAAAGGGTTAAAATGCCTTGCAGCTGTATACACAGAAGTCTCTTATGTCGCTAATCAAGTTATTTTCCCTCAATCATTCGTTTTGCGGCTCTTATAAATCTCAATTGTCATTATTATCATCATCATCATAACTCTTAGCTATAGCGCAATTACCCTCGACCACGATGTTTTTAGTGAAAGCCTATATTGTACTTAGGGGAAACAGTGGAGAAAACTTTTTTATCTTAGTAAATCGTTTGCTCTAATTTTTTTAACATTACGAAATCTTGAATCGTGAAAAGCGGTCTGGAGATGTGAGATTACAAAGTTTATTTTAACTGTTTAGAAACTCGTTTCTGGAATTGTCTTTAATAAAGACGTTGCTATACATCACGTAGAAATATTTGCATATCAAAGAGAAGATTTTCTTAATGGTAAGTCTTAACCAAGTCTTTAAAAACTCTCCTTTGTTGAAAGACAAAAACAAATATGTTTTTAACCAAAGGAGGTTAAGGTTTTGGCTTTTAGAAACCATTCTAAAATTTATCTCCGATTAAATTACTTTAATTATTTCATTCTTTTGTATTGACTCCAGGACGTCTCTGTCTCAAGGGAGATGTTCAAAACATTCTTTAAAAGAGTATTCTTTAATTAAAGGCGCTTGTTTTCTCTTCTAAAGGGAAAATAATAGAAGTCATTAGATATAAGAAGAATGCACCTGTTTTGAGAAATACCTGGAAACAAAATAAGTTCCCTGCTGAGATTTTCTAAAAAAATAGATAACACCGTACGTAGATAAAAAAGTCTTCATTTTCGTAATTATTGCACGGACGTATGCATTTTTAAGAGTGTCTTAAAGTTTTAAAGTTTGCTCCAGATTTGAAATTGTGGCCTGATTGTATTACATGTTTGAAGGCCATGAGGACATCACTTGATTGGGTAAGTTCGTTTAGGATATCTTTAAATTCCTTTAATAAATCAGTTTCTTACTCCTCTAAAACCTGAAATTAACGTAATTTAAATCAAAATACCTTTTATTTTCTTTTTCTTCAATAATGTTTTCTGCCTTTAAAAAACTGACTTTATATTTGACTTTAGGTTTTGCAAACGCTTTGGATAGCACTTGAGGTATTCTTAAATACGCATGTACAACAAACAGTGGGTAAGTTGGCGTTGAAAATCCCATTTTACATTGAGTAAACGTATTGTTTCCCTCTCCTTCTCCCAATGACGGTTTTACGGGCTCGCTGGGGCAAAATAATCCTCTTCCAAATTAATATTGAAGATGAAGGGGCTGGAAAGCCACGGACCCAACAAATTTGTTATTTGCTGTGGTGTTAAGAATAGCAACAAATTATTGTTTCACGGTTTCAACTGAGAAGGGAACTTACGAAACTACGACGGCGGCGGCAACGACAACGTCAAAAAGCAAAAGGTTTAGTTAGCAAAACAACAACTCTGCACGTGCATCGCGCTTTTTTGTACATTTCTTTGCTGTTCCTGTACGACTACGACTTCAAATGACCAAATTAGGACGAGAACGACAAGGCGATAAATTTTACCATCTCTGTCTGGACTCGGGTGCGGCCCCCTCTCTTCGACTCCAACATAAATTTCCTTCCCTTAAGTAACTGGGCGACTCAGGATATTCGCTAAATGGTTTGAAAGGATGCGGAGTCTATTTTTCAGCGAGGTTTTTTATAGACGTCGCCGTTGTGGGATCGTAAGGTCCCTATTGGCAGCTGTTAAGGAGACTTGGGTATAAAAAGGCCGGATTTTATTAAGGTGAATCATCCTCTGAAAAGGTGTTTGATTAATTCGTTCTTTAGGCCTTTTCCTTTTTGTGTTTTTTAAATTGATTGTAGCTCGTCATTCATGTACTTATAGTTTGGTATTTTAGTTAAGTGTCTGGCTCTGCTTTCGGGAGGGTTCAGGTCTCATCCTTAGATTAGGTGGATTTTCCTGACGGGCAGCGTGCATGATCATATTTTTATTGGGTTATCAATCAAATTATAGAGTTTGCCTTTGCAGTATCTAAGTGTTTGTATCTGTATAAATAAACGAGAACTGATGCTTGCATTACGCTGGGCTTCTATCCAGTGCAGCAATCAGTTTTCCTTTTTTTATTGTCAGTTGCCGTTTCAACAATAAGGAATAGGGAAAACCTACCGAGAATGCGTCTTTTCCCTTAACAAATGGGGTCTGAAGTGCACTTAGTAGCTGACACCAAATCAATAAAATTATATAAATTAAAATATATTATATATATAAAAACGTTTCGAGAGGATCGGAGTACAAATTATAAGAGAAGGGTTCCTTCGGATAATTATCAGCTGCAACATGCATAGTACGTAGCGTCAAATTCAATCTTGAAAATCTTGAAGAAAGAAAAACTTATTTGTTGGTTTCAGTCTCAGATATGATGCTAAAAGAACCGCGAATGCCCCTTCAGTTGATGGTGGGATTTTAGCCCTGGGAATCAGTTAACATAATTTAAACGAAAAAAGGTACAAGCGTAACAACAATCCAATAATTCAAAACCATAATTAATTAATAGAACGCACTAGAATAAAGCAGTTAATGAAATCTTAGAGGTCATCAAATCCTTTCGAATGGAACCAGCATTTTGCTTCTAGCCGCCTGAAAATTTCAGACCTGACTCTGTTCTCAGCAGCGTGGCTGTGAGAGCAGGGGGAGGAGAGAAAGCGCCTGGGAACGAAGGGAATGGGAAAGAGAATGGAAAAGAGGCCAACATTGAACGAGAGATGACGTTAACGTTATTCTTTCAATTGAGTCAAGTTCTAATGTCACGAATTGTAGCTAAAAGAACAATAACTTTACGTATCTGTCTGTCCGTTTAATTTATTTACATCTCATTTCAGGTGTTCCGACAGAATGTAACTCCTACATCGATCTTGATGAGCCTGGCCGATATTGGAGGAATAATAGTGGTTCTTTAATCTGCGACAGCTATGACCCTAAAATTGCCAACAATCTGTGGTATCGCTTTATTGGAGGAGCTGGACGGATGATGGCGTCGTATTGCATTCCCAAATCGAGTTGCAGTACCCATAGATCTTCATGGGTAAATGGTGATCATCCGACTAGTCTCTACGCCACGGTGACAACAACTGTATGCATGCACTGGAAATCAACCTGCTGTGAAAGATCCTACCCCGTTAGCATAACACAATGTGATGGCTACTACGTGTATAAACTGCAAAGGCCCACATCATGTTATGAGCGTTACTGTGGTGTTTTAGGTGAATGTTCGAAAAAAAAAAACTTTTATAACTGTATTTCTTTTAATGACGTGCAAGAAGATTTTTCCTTCGTGCAACCAACTAAGAGAGTTTCCCTTTTCATGGGATGGCACTCCAACCTACTTATTTCGTGCTGCGTTAAACAATGCCCAAGAAGTACATTTGTTTTCGTCACTTTGGGCAGGCCCCAAAATTACTTTTTCCATATTTTCTCATCTTTTTTTTTTCCTTTGTGACGCAGATGCGAATGATGCGTGTTTTGGAACCGCAGGATCGGACGTCTGTGCTTGTAATCCGGGTTATTCAGGAAATCCTTGTTCCGGTAGGTTAATACAAATACTTACACTTAGATTCGTAACGTCCTACTGTATCTGTGTCATGAACAGGATACGGGCATCATCATCATCGTTATCATCATTTTATTTGATAAAGCACGTTAATAGGCGCACACATGTGTTTTGACGTTGATTCTTTAGGGAAACTGATTAAAAGACCCTTCTTCTACTTTCTTTCTTTCTGAAAATTCATTCAGGATAATCATTCAAATCGTATTAGTTCGTCAATTCTTAAATTGAAATTTCCCTGTTCCATCATTATCGTCTTGTGCAGCTAATTCTATTTGAATAAACTGAATTCTGTACAACTGCCAAGTGAATCAACAGAGCTCCAGGAGTACTCCAAGTTAATACATCAGACTTTTTTCGCTGGTTGAGTCCAACTGCCCCGCACAACGTTATTGGTTTTGGAGATATTTATACTACAATGGCGCTATTTCTGCCCCTTTCACCCCCCTTTTTTCACTTATCACAGGCACCCGATTCATTCTTTTTGCCCAAAATTCTATTGGACTATAATTATTCAGGCTTCCCTGACTGGATTTACACACGTTATAACTTCGAAAGGCTCAACTTTTCCATCAACGAGCACAATGATAACATATATAAAAAGATAATAGCGATGATAATAATAATAATGATGATAGTGACGATGATGATGATGATGATAACAAAGTTAATTTCCAATAAAAACTAAAAGCAGCAAAACTGTTTACAAAATAATCAATAAAACTACTTACTTAAGAAGTCGACTTTTTAATGTCCATTAAAAGACTCAAAGCTTCACATCTCTTTCGTATGACTATCCACGGAGGTCCAAAAAGGAAGTTACAAGCGATTCTGACGATTCACACTAGTACACTCGTATAGTAGCTCATAAACATCATCAAATATCAGAAACCTTCACTTGCAAAACACTTGTGAGCAATTACGTGATCGCCTGCAAATTGTTAAATTCAACTTCTTATTAGTACTTCGCTTCTTGAATGGATGAATGGTCAGAAGCAGGAGTATAAGTGCGAGTAAGGCGTCTCACCCGGCGTTATAAGCTGTTATTTATTCTTTTTGACAGACGTAGACGAATGCACAGCAGGTACCCATGATTGCCATGCGTCAGCTTCTTGCACGAATACCGCAGGTTCTTTTACTTGTTCCTGTAACCCTGGTTACACAGGCGACGGCAAAACCTGTAGCAAAGGTAAGCTGTCTCCTTTCTCTTAAAAACTCTCTCCACCCACTAGGAAGAAAGACTGTCTGGATTGCCTGTCTTGTAAATCTAACTTTGTCTTCCTTATAAAACTATTATCTAGTAAGTACACTTCGGTGATCAATACTCATAAATGGGTAAAGAAAGGCCTGAATAAAAATGTAACCGTCGAGGGACATTGATTTCACAGCTGCCATACATCGCAATAACATATCATGATGCCTTCAAAACCAACAATACTGTAGTACACGAAAAGCTATACCACCAAATCTATTCATTCATTGCACATCCTTAAGATCCAAGGACAAAAACGCCTATTTCCCTGTCGTAAACGGTTGTTGCCATTTTTAACGGTCGATGCCACCATTGATAACCAAGTCTTAAGTCATGGTAGATATAGATGTAATACACTGGAACTCTGCCTTACGGCCACCTCGTTATTACGGTAAATACGGTCACCCGTTAATGCAGCCATCTTTTTTCGGCATTGGTGAACGTATTAACGGGTTTCCACTGTATATTCCCCTGGGTTAAGTTACAATAAGGCAAATTTTTTTTTGAATATCCTTAGAAAGAACATACGTTGTAGCCGAAGTTTGAATTTACGCTGAAAGTTATGGAAAGGGCTAGAGGGTCACCCATTATGGATGTATCAGTTTAAAAATACGTACTTAAAACCGTTCGAAATTTTGGCGGGTCGGTAGGTAGTGTATTGGTAAGGACGAGGGATTAGGTTATGGTCCGGGTTAGACCCAGGGTTGCGGTATTCTTTTGTTTTCATAGAAACCTCTCAATAACAGGTCCAAAAAAATTGGAGTGTCTTTTAGAACTCAGCGACTGTTTACGAAAGGGAAACTTGAGACGGCGTTTGCGGCGAAAACGTTGTTGTTGGGCTAATCTGTTAAAACATATTGCTTTTTCGACGTTCTCGTTGCTGTCGCCGTCGTCGAATCTTTATGTCCTCTAATTTATTAAAGGTGAAGAGTGCAGAAATTTTAATAAATGTTACTACTCCACTCAAAAGCCCGGCCCAGGCCGCATGTGACAACTGTAGCCCTGTGAATTTTTTTTTGGCTTATCGTCACTTGCAACTAAATTGCAGAAAATCCAGCATGTACCGGATACGCACAACTTAGCACGGCAGATAGGCATGTCTCTTCGTATAATATTTCCATTGCATTATGCGACTCCGGCATCGTAACTCAATGGTACCGCTTCACCGGTTCGGCTGGTACCTCTATGCCAGAAAGTTGCCCAGCCGAATTCCAATGTACAACACATGCTCCTGGATGGTTAAACGGAATACACCCGACAGTTGCAGAGGGCGAAGTTACCAGAACTGTATGCTATCATTATAACGGCTCATGTTGCTACTGGAGCAGTACCATAAAACCACTTGGTTCAAGGCAAACAAACTCTCCTTAAACCTAAAGAAAACAAACTTTATGTTATTTAAGCCTAGACATAAAAGGTATCATTTTCCAATGCAAGTATGCATAACCGAACAGAGAATCGAACAGGTTAAGGAAACGGTCTTCCTCGGAGTAGTCCTTGATGAACATCTGTCTTGGCAACCGCACAATTCTCAAGTAGCTCATTGTATTTTGCTTTCGATCCTGGCCTTACCGTTACTGTTAACTTTATTTTTACTCTGAGGGAGCCCAATGTCTATAAGCCTCATGGTTTCTGTTTGGGCTTCCTCGCCACTTTCATTTACTTTTGTGTAACTGTCTTGTTTTATCGTTATTTGTATTTTGTGGTAAATCAAATAAAGTTAAAGAAAGTTAAAGTTAATTGTCATTATTATCATCATCATCATAACTCTTAGCTATAGCACAATTACCCTCAACCACGATGTTTTTAGTGAAAGCCTATATTGTACTAAGGGGAAACAGTAGAGAAAACTTTTTTATCTTGGTAAATCGTTTGCTCTAATTTTTTTTAAAATTACGAAATCTTGAATCGTGAAAAGCAGTCTGGAGATTTGAGGTGACAAAGTTTATTTTAGTTGTTTAGAAACTCGTTTCTGGAATTGTCTTTAATAAAGACGTTGCTATACATCACGTAGAAATATTTGCATATCAAAGAGAAGATTTTCTTAATGGTAAGTCTTAACCAAGTCTTTGAAAACTCTCTTTTGTTAAAAGACAAAAACAAATATGTTTGTAACCGAAGGAGGTTAAGGTTTTGGCTTTTAGAAACTATTCTAAGATTTATCTCCGATTAAATTACTTTAATTATTTCATTGTTTTGTATTGACTCCAGGACGTCTCTGTCTCAAGGGAGATGTTCAAAACATTCTTTAAAATAGCATTCTTTAATTTAAGGCGCTTGTTTTCTGTTCTAAAGGGAAAATAATAGAAGTCATTAGATATAAGAAGAATGCACCTGTTTTCAGAAATACCTGAAAACAAGAAAAGTTCGCTGCTGAGATTTTCTAAAAAATAGATAACACCGTACGTAGATAAAAAAAAAAGTCTTCGTTTTCGTAATTATTGCACGGACGTATGCATTTGTAAGGGTGTCTTAAAGTTTTAAAGTTTGCTCCAGATTTGAAATTGTGGCCGGATTGTATTACATGTTTGAAGGCCATGAGGACATCACTTGATTGGGTAAGTTCGTTTAGGATATCTTTTAATTCCCTTGATAAATCAGTTTCTTACTCCTCTAAAACCTGAAATTAACGTGATTTAAATTAAAATACCTTTTATAATGTTTCTGCCTTTAAACAACTGACTTTATATTTGACTTTAGGTTTTGCAAACGCTTTGGATAGCTCTTGAGGTATTCTTAAATACGCATGTGAAACAAACAGTGGGTAAGTTGGCGTTGAAAATCCTATTTTACATTGAGTAAACGTATTGTTTCCCTCCCCTTCTCCCAATGACGGTTTTACGGGCTCGCTGGGCCGGCAAAACAATCCTCTTCCAAATTAACATTGAAGATGAAGGTTTCAACTTAGTAGGGACCTTACGAAGCTACGACGGCAACGGCAAAGGCAACGTCAAAAAGCAATAGGTTTAGTTAGCAAAACAACAACTCTGAACGTGCATCACGCTTTTTTTTTTACATTTCTTTGCTGTTCCTGCACGACTACAACTCGAAATGACCAAATTAGGACGAGAACGACAAGGCGATAAATTCTACCATCTCTGTCTGAACTCGGGTGCGGCCCACTCTCTTCAGCTCCAACATAAATTCCCGTCCCTTAAGTAACTGGGCGACTCAGGATAATCGTGAAATGGTTTGAAAGGATGCGGAGTCTATTTTCAGCGAGATTTCATAGACGTCGCCGTTGTGGGATCGTAAGGTCCCTTTTGGCAGCTGTGACAGAGACTTGGGTATAAAAAGGCCCGATTTTATTAGGTGAATCATCCTCTGAAATTAAGGTGACATCGCTGCTTGATTAATTCGTTTTTTACGCCTTTTCTTTTTTGTGTACTTTAAATTGATTGTAGCTCATCATTCAGCTACTTGTAGTTTGGTATTTTAGTTAAGTGTATGGCTCTACTTTCGGGAGGGTTCAGGTTTCCTCCTTAGATAAGGGGGATTTTCCTGACGGGCAGCGTGCATGATTATATTTTTATTAGGTTATCAATAAAAGAACTTTACTATAGAGTTTGCCTTTGCAGTATCTAAGTGTTTGTATCTGTATAAATAAACAGGAACTGATGCTTGCATTACGCTGGGCTTCTATCCAGTGCAGCAATCAGTTTTCCTTTTTTTATTGTCAGTTGCCGTTTCACCAATAGGGAATAGGGGAAACCTACCGAGAATGTGTCTTTTCCTTTAACGAATGGGGTCTGAAGTGCACTAGTTGACACCAAATCAATAAAATTATATAGATTAAAAAGTATTATGTATAAAAAAAAGTTTCGAGAGGATCGGAATACAATTATAAGAGTAGGGTCCCTTGGGTAATTATACGCTCCAACATGCATAGTATATAGCGTTAAATTCGCTGGCGAAGTGGAACAAGATAGAAGTTAAGTATATCTTGAAGAAAAAAAATCTTTTTTGGTTTCAGTCTCAGATATGATGCTAAATAACTGCGAATGCCCCTTCAGTTGATGGTGGGATTTTAGCCCTGGGAATCATTTAACATAATTTAAACGAAAAAACGATACAAGCGTAACAACAATCCAATAATTCAAAACCATAATTTTTATGAATAGAACGCACTAGAATAAAGCAGTTAATGAAATCTTAGAGGTCATCAAATCCTTTCGAATGGAACCAGCATTTTGCTTCTAGCAACCTGAAAATTCCAGACCTGACTCTCTTCTCAGTAGCGTGGCTGTGAGAGCAGGGGGAGGAGAGAAAGCACCTGGGAACCAAGGGAATGGGGAAAAAACTGGAAAAGAGGCCAACATTGAACGAGAGATGACGTTAACGTTATTCTTTTTCAATTGAGTCAAGTTCTAATGTCACGAATTGTAGCTAAAGGAAGAATAACTTTACGTATCTGTCTGTCTCTTTAATTTATTTACATCTCATTTCAGGTGTTCCAACAGAATGTAACTCCTACATCGATCTTGATGAGCCTGGCCGATATTGGAGCAATAATAGTGGCTCTTTAATCTGCGACAGCGATGACCCTAAAATTGCCAACAATCTGTGGTATCGCTTTATTGGAGGAGCTGGACGGATGATGGCGTCGTATTGCATTCCCAAATCGAGTTGCAGTACCCATAGATCTTCTTGGGTAAATGGTGATCATCCGACTAGTCTCTATGCCACGGTGACAACAACTGTATGCATGCACTGGAGTTCAACCTGCTGCGAAAGATCCTACCCCGTTAGCATAACACGATGTGATGGCTACTACGTGTATAAACTGCAAAGGCCCACATCATGTTATGAGCGTTACTGTGGTGTTTTAGGTGAATGTTCGAAAAAAAAAAAAATACTTTTATACCTGTATTTCTTTTAATGACGTGCAAGAAGATTTGTCCTCCGTGCAATCAACTAAGAGAGTTTCCCTTTTCATGGGATGGCACTCCAACCTACTTATTTCGTGCTGCGTTAAACAATGCCCAAGAAGTACATTTGTTTTCGTCACTTTGGGCAGGCCCCAAAATTGCTTTTTCCATATTTTCTCATCTTTTTTTTCCTTTGTGACGCAGATGCGAATGATGCGTGTTTTGGAACCGCAGGATCAGACGTCTGTGCTTGTAATCCGGGTTATTCAGGAAATCCTTGTTCCGGTAGGTTAATACAAATACTTACACTTAGATTCGTAACGTCCTACTGTATCTGTGTCATGAACAGGATACGGCCATCATCATCATCGTTATCATCATTTTATTTGATAAAGCACGTTAATAGGCGCACACATGTGTTTTGACGTTGATTCTTTAGGGTAACTGATTAAAAGACCCTTCTTCTACTTTCTTTCTTTCTGAAAATTCATTCAGGATAATCATTCAAATCGTATTAGTTCGTCAATTCTTAAATTGAAATTTCCCTGTTCCATCATTATCGTCTTGTGCAGCTAATTCTATTTGAATGAACTGAATTCTGTACAACTGCCAAGTGAATCAACATAGCTCCAGGAGTACTCCAAGTTAATACATCAGACTTTTTCGCTGGTTGANCCCCCCCCCCCCCCCCCTTTTTTTTCACTTATCACAGGCACCCAATTCATTCTTTTTGCCCAAAATTCTATTGGACTATAATTATTCAGGCTTCCCTGACTGGATTTACACACGTTATAACTTCGATAGGCTCAACTTTTCCATCAACGAGCACAATGATAATATATATAAAAAGATAATAGTGATAATGATAATAATGACGATAGTGACGATGATGATGATGATGACGATGATGATAACAAAGTTAATTTCCAATAAAAACTAAAGGCAGCAAAACTGTTTACAAAATCATCAAAATAATCAATAAAACTACTTATTTAAGAAGTGGACTTTTTAATGTCCATTAAAAGACTCAAAGCTTCACATCTCTTTCGTATGACTATCCACAGAGGTCCAAAAAGGAAGTTACAAGCGATTCTGACGATTCACACTCGTACACTCGTAGCTCATAAACATCATCAAATATCAGAAACCTTCACTTGCAAAACACTTGTGAGCAATTACGCGATCGCCTGCAAATTGTTAAATTCAACTTCGTATTAGTACTTCGCTTCTTGAATGGATGAATGGTCAGGAGCAGGAGTATAAGTGTGAGTAAGGCGTCTCACCCGGCGTTATAAGCTTTTATTTATTCTTTTTGACAGACGTAGACGAATGCACGGTAGGTACCCATGATTGCCATGCGTCAGCCTCTTGCACGAATACCGCAGGTTCTTTTACTTGTTCCTGTAACCCTGGTTACACAGGCGACGGCAAAACCTGTAGCAACGGTAAGCTGTCTCCTTTCTCTTAAAAACCCTCTTAACCCACTAGGAAGAAAAACTGTCGGGATTGCCTGTCTTGTAAATCTAACTTTGTCTTCCTTATAAAACTATTGTCTAGTAAGTACACTTCGGTGATCAATGCTCATAAATGGGTAAAGAAAGGCCTGAATAAAAATGTAATTGTCGAGGGACATTGATTTCACAGCTGCCATAAGTCGCAATAACATATCATGATGCCTTCAAAACCAACAATACTGTAGTACACGAAAAGCCATACCACCAAATCTATTCATTCATTGCCCGTCCTTAAGATCCAAGGATGGCAACGCCTATTTCCCTGTCGTAAACGGTTGTTGCCATTTTCAACGGTCGATGCCACCATTGATAACCAAGTCTTTAGTTATGGTAGATATAGATGTAATACACTGGAACTCTGCCTTACGGCCACCTCGTTATTACGGTAAATACGGTCACCCGTTAATGCAGCCATTTTTTTTGGCATTGGTGAACGTACTAACGGGTTTCCACTGTATATTCCACTGGGTTAAGTTACAATAAGGCAAATAATATTTTTTGAATAGCCTTAGAAAGAACATATGTGATAGCCCAAGTTTGAATTTACGCTGAAAGTTATGGAAAGGGCTAGAGGGCCACCCATTATAGATGTATCAGTTTAAAAAGACGTACTTAAAACTGTTCGAAATTTTGGCGGGTCGGTGTGGTAGTGTAGTGGTAAGGACGAGAGATTAGCTTATGGTCCGGGTTAGACCCAGGGTTGCGATCTTCTTTTGTTTTCATAGAAACTTCTCAATAAAAGGTCCAAAAAAATTGAAGTGTCTTTTAGAAGACAGCGATAGTTTTACGAAAAGAAAACTTGAGACTGCGTTTGCGGCGAAAACGTTGTTGTTTTGCTAATCTGTTAAAACATATTGCTTTTTCGACGTTCTTGTTGCTGTCGCCGTCGTCGAATCTTTATGTCCTCTAATTTATTAAAGGTGAAGAGTGCAGAAATTTTAATAAATGTTACTATTCCACTCAAAAGCCCGGCCCAGGCCGCATGTGACAACTGTAGCCCTGTCAATTTTTTTTGGCTTATCGTCACTTACAACTCAATTGCAGAAAATCCAGCATGTACCGGATACGCACAACTTAGCACGGCAGATAGGCATGTCTCTTCGTATAATATTTCCATTGCATTATGCGACTCCGGCATCGTAACTCAATGGTATCGCTTCACCGGTTCGGCTGGTACCTCTATGCCAGAAAGTTGCCCAGCGGAATTCCAATGTACAACACATGCTCCTGGATGGTTAAACGGAATACACCCGACAGTTGCAGAGGGCGAAGTTACCAGAACTGTATGCTATCATTATAACGGCTCATGTTGCTACTGGAGCAGTACCATAAAAGTCCTTAACTGTGGAGGATTTTATGTGTACGAGTTAAAACCTACAACGGGCTGTTCACTGAGATACTGTGGTACAAATGTGGGTGAGTGCAGCAGTTAAGTCGTAAGCACAAAATTCAGCACAGCTGAATCACCAGCGATCTTTGTTAGCATGCCATTCGAGGCGGACAGGCTAAAAATACCTGTTTTTTATGGAAATATCTGAATTTCGTAGCGCTGTCTCATTTCCGCACCAGAGGCTGGTAATTACGTCGAGGTAAAATGATTCAGTCAAACCCGTATAGATACTAATTTAGGTGTATCTCAGGCTTTATTTGAGCCCCAAAAGAGACTTTAAGTTACAACATGCAAGAAATTCCTATAACAAATTATGAGCAGTTGTTATTTCAATTGCGCGAAAATACGGCGGCGTTTTTTTGTATATATTTCATTACACAGCCTCAAAAGGTGGCTTCATTTGTTAAAAAAAAATAATAATAATAACAGGGTTTCTGCCGTAAACAGACTAATTGCGACCAAAATCTGCAATTTACACCCCCGAGTAAGACAAAGAGCATCTACAGCATCAGGGCCATTGTGGGTTAGGAAAACATGGGCTCGAATCTCATTGAGGATTTCTTTTTACATGGGCTTGAATTGCTTGTATAACTAGGATAATCATTTCCCTATTTAAATTAATTTGACACCTCCAGTTTAACTATGATTTTTTTACACGCATTACATACATCATCTGGAAATAAGATCATAGTATCATAGTTGTAATTTGGCTACTTTTGACAGCTCCTAGTACAGAGCCACCTCCTGAATGTCTCTCACAAGGATACACCATACTCAGTGAAGCTAATAGATACTGGAATAACGAGGATGGAGGCCCTTACTGTGATCGAGATCCTGGCAATATTGTTAGTAATCAGTGGTACCGCTTTGAAGGGGCTGCTGGTGTCAGGATGGCTTCCTACTGTATCCCACAACAAAGCTGTAATACCAATAACGCTGGCTGGGTTAATGGAGCTCATCCCCATGTCAAGTATGAGAGAGCGTTCAGAGATGTCTGTATTCATTCGGGTGAAAGTTGCTGTAGCCTTTCCTATCCAACTGAGATAAGAAACTGTAGCGGGTTTTACGTTTATAAGTTGCAACAACCGAATGGATGCGCCCAACGCTACTGTGGTGTGAACGGTGAGACTTACTCTTATTCTAGAGCAAAATAGTTTAAAATTTCACAAAGTCAGTTACATCTTAATTGGCGTTATCTCTTCGGGCGAAAACTTTTTCAGTCAATATATTTCTACCTGGATTTATGAAAACCGGGTTAGTAAACATTTGGTAATTTCTCTCAACTCCCCATGTCTTAGCTTGTTTACTGTGATGTTTGCTTATGTCGCATCTTTATTTTGGTTGTTTCGTGGTTAGGGATTTGTGAAGATTTGGCTGTACACAGAATTTTGGGAAATTCGCGTTCTTTCTAACCACCCCCCCCCCTCTCCCTCCCTCCCTAGAGGGTGTGTTTCCGTCCCTTCCCAGAATTCTCTGTTTAACACACGTGACAGTTATTTATTTGAAGCCAGTGCGCGCCTAAAGCTAGTTTTGGCGCCGTTTAGCAGTTTATATTTCGTTATAGGTCACCTTGAGAAAAGTTTCCCGGAGAGCATCATGCAAAGCTCTCAGATGGACAAAATTAATACGATTCGCAGAGTCTACATCGTCCAGTATCGTATCGTTTTCTGGTTTCATTTGGCTAAACGGATCAATCACCCTAGCTTGTTCGCTTTTCTTGAGTGACACTAATTAAGGTCTTTAGCCTCGGAAACAGGGTTCTGGTAGTCAAATCTATTAGGAAGTACTCTAGGAAGTAGGCGAGCAGTTGTTGGTTTTTATTGAGAGGAGTATGGTAAAATAAAGAAAGTCATCTAATAAAGTTCGAACACCAGCTACAATTCTATAACATCACTGTCACCCGAAAGAAACTTTAGTAGGAATGAAATTACTGACCTGACGTCAAAAAACCAAGTAATTTTTAAAGGCTTAAAATGACTTAAGTGAACTTCAGTAAGTAAACGTCTTTTTTTTTTCGTTTCTTACAGTGCTTTTGTAATTGAATTTCGTTTTTTTTCCCATGACCAGACGAGAACGATGCGTGTGTTGCTAGTCCTAGCTCGCCAACGTGTGGCTGCCTGGTGGGTTATACCGGAATCCCTTGCACCGGTGAGTTACATTGCAGAATCTGATATATCAAGAGAACCTGTAGTGAGTGATCCCCCATCTTTTAACGCTTACTTACTCAGCTATCTGAAATCTTTTCTCGTAATTATATGTGACCCTCCACAGGATTTTAATGCTAAAGGTGAAAGCACGCGCACGACACGCTTTCACTTTAAAACAAAAGAATTTATTTTAACACGCTTTAGCACGCTTGCAATCTTGCCTCATTAGCAATTTCTTTTGTTTCAGAGGACACGCTTGAGACAATTAGGCGTGAGCAAGTCGAACAAAAGAGCGTGTTAAAGTTTTCAAACAAAAGCTCCGTGCGAAAAAGCACAACACGCTTTCAGTGTGCACAAAAGCACGCAAGGCGTGTTATCTATAAGCTAAATAAATTTCCTCTACAAAAAGGAACCGTAAATGATTATGAACGGTGCCCTTTTTTGGTAACTATCGAGATGGTGTGTCCTACTGGATTTATGGGTAGAACTATATTAGCATTGCAAAATCAAAGTTCTTTCCAGAAATGTTTACTGACAAAGCTGTGCTAAGGTTATCTTAACTTTCCTTAATTTAAAACACATTTGCAGTTTTCTCAGAAACAGTGATCTTTCGGACTTAAGACACTTTCTTGCCGATCGCAGCAATCGCGATCAAATATAATAGAAATCATCAAGTGCTTTCCCCTTGCCAAATTGTAAAATCTCTTTTCATTTTTCAGTTTCTATCTATTATTTAGTTAATGTCTTTCGTATTGTCGTTTTAAAAAAAACACATAAGAACTTACAGCGCTCCCAAATTTTATTTACAAGGTACAATGCAATCTTATCATGTTAACATATAATGCTTTTGTAAAAAAATGTGAAATATTTGACACACTTAATATTTCAGTAAAACTTGTATACAGGCACTTAAAATTGCTATTCTAGGACTGGTGGGGCCACTAAATTTTCTGTTCCGTCTCGACAGAATTCTCTTATTTCCTTAAACAGGTAGTGAGCACGTTCTCGGCTGATCCCGCTTGGGGTGATTATGGGTGGAAGCTGTCCGCCTCCAGGGAATCTTGCATCGTTTCTTAAAATGTTTATTGCTATTTCTTCAGAGTTCCAGTACTTCTTGCAGAAAATAGTTCCCGGAAAGTCTTTGTGGAAACGAAAATGATGATATGATTTGATCTTAGGGAGTTTCTTAAAAAACTGTGAAAGATATTTCGTCCAGTCAAATGGCCACGGTTACTATCAAATTCCAAAACAGTCTCAATTGGTATATTTGATTCACTTCGACCAGTTATCAATGCTGATTAAATCCGCTGAAAACCCAAGCCATTTTTATCATCTTAGCGGTTTTAGTAATCAAGCGTGTTCAGCGTGTCTTACCCAAATTGCACGCTAACCGTGCTATAATTCGCACACTTACCGTGACATATGGCACGCTACAAAAAAACAAAAGGTCTACCGTGTTCAATTTGCCAAAACAAAAGCAAGTGTGTCCGTCTTTGTTTTTTCAATTTAATATGCGCATATCCGTGATCTACGGCACGCTAAGCGTGTCGTGCAAGCGTACTAGGTCGTGCGCGTGCTTTCACCTTTAGCATCAAATTCCTGTGGAGGGTCACATATGATGGCTCTTAGGTGGAACAAAACACTTACCAGAGTCCAGAACACTACACAGAATCTAAAACACATCTACGAATACAAGCTACGTCCCAGAATCCAAAACACGTCCACACTTCCCAGAAACCACACCTGGGACGTGTTTTGGATTCTGGGACGTGACACCGTAAAATAACCTCTACAAAGCGAAGCCGTCGTTTGTCGTACTTCTTGTAGTCTTCGTCTCCTTTAAATGATCACGGCTTTTTTCACCCCCGCGAGGAACCACATACACTTTGCACGAGTGATGAGTACTTGCCTACAAAAAGACACAATCATTCGCGGGCTATTCGTCGTCTGAAGGATGCTTCTTCAAATAGCACTTTTCCAGGAGCCCATCAAATGGGCTCCTGCCTTTTCTTAATTTTCTCTTCTCAAATGGTCAAGAGGTCAGTTGGTCATCCCATGTTTTTTGCATCGCCCAATCAACGGCATCAAAGAAAATACCAGATCGGTTAGGACTTCGTACGACAAACATTCCAGGCTACTTCTACATAATCTTACACAATGCTTTCAAGCTTCCGCTTTCCTTTCTGCTCTTGTGCAGACACAGTTTGCAACCCTTAAAGAAACTTTATGTTTCTGATCTGTTTTTGAATAATGTTTCTTTCCTTTTTTTCAACAGATATTGACGAATGCCTTGATACTTCTCACAATTGTCACTTGTCAGCGAATTGTACCAACAACGCGGGCTCCTTTTCTTGCTCATGTCTCACGGGATACACTGGGGATGGCATATCTTGCAGTGGTAAATATACTCTTGAAATTTTTACCATTTCCATGCCCATCAGCCAAACGGACTCCATATTTCGGATCTTTTTTGCAGACAGGAAATATATTTCTTGTAAAGATTATGCGCTTACAACGGTACACTTCTTTTCAACGCGAAAAATATTGCTTTTCAGGTAGTGACTACTTGGCGGTTATGTTATCTTTTATGACTTCTCTCATCTTTTCCCATTTTTTGTTACTTACACTTCACAATTTAATGGCATGGCGACTATTGTGTTGTATATAGAGACAATAGCATTTTTAGCCAACAGACGCCCTGAATAGTACGGGTCCCCGACCTTGTTCTAGCTATATTGCAACCTTGTTTATAAGCGGTAGATTCATCGTCGTCGAGGCAGGCATGTTTGAGCTACAGTTTTTTAATATGGATTTTTCTCGATTTCTGTGTGCGATTACAGATATTGATGAATGCACGGCCGAAAACCATGACTGTCACCTAAATGCAGTGTGTAGCAACATACAAGGCTCATTTTCGTGTAACTGTATCCAGGGGTACACAGGGGATGGAAAGCAGTGTGCTGGTATGTTTCTATTCTAGCAGTGCGTAATAGTACCTTAATTAAAATTTGACCGTGCGTCAGTTTACGTACCATTCTCGCTGCTATAGTTCGTTCCACCCTAACTTTAAAAGATCCAATACTTTGCTGTAAAATGTGGAACAGTAAAAGAGTTTGAAAGTAATAATTTTCGATAAAGTAAGCTCAATTCATTAATTTTTACAATCTGTGTCATCTTAATTAGCTCATTAAGTGTCCAGAACGGCCTTACTTTGTTAGTTTACTCTAATGCCTTGGATAATATGTAAAGGAGAGATTGTTTTGGTCTTACTCAAAATGATCTAAAATCAATGGGAAACATGGCAAAAATTTCCAGAAGACAAGTTCAGACCAGCAAATGTATTTGTACAGACACAGATGAATGTGCAGAAGGAACCCACAACTGCCATGGAGTGGCTCACTGTTACAACAATGAAGCCTCGTTCACATGCCAATGTCGGTCTGGTTACACGGGTGATGGACTGACTTGTAGCCCGCTTGGTGAGTTACTTAATATATTAATCTTTGCGAATACCTTTTAACTTGAAAGAAGGTGCCCACCTCGTTAAATTCAATAGTTTATGGTAGTGAATTATAATTCCCAGGAAGAATCTACAGTTATAATATGTTGATGATTTTGTCAAGTGAAAGGCATTTTTTTTTACAATTTTATAGTTCAATAGATACTGAAAACCTGGCCCATTTTGTAAAAATCGAAACATAGTACTGTTTTAGCCCACTCTGTTGCTCTTTTCACGGCAATACAAAGACTGGTCAATTCCTAGTATCTTAGAATACGGACTATCATAGACTATACTATGATGTATTTAGCTCAAATAAGGAATACCGTGGGCAAATCGCATTCTTCCTAACATGCCTTTAATTCAATAGGTGACTTTTCAGTAACTATAGCGAATATATCTAAGGATAACAATAAGCCTACTGCAGTCAAGCGATCTGCCAAAAGTATCCAAACAGCGGTAATCAAAGGTCTACCAGCAGGTGCTAAAGTGTTGTACAGTGTATTGGAGTGGCGCCTGATAAGTGAGGCAGAATTAGCAGCCGCGGAGTCGGCAGAGGGCGAATTAGTAAGTGAAGGAACCGCTGAGTGGGAAATCGAGAGGAGGTCTTTACCTGCGGGAAAATACCAAGTCAAGTTTCATGCGTCCATCACAATCGGGGATCCGAACTTTCCACAAACTATTCAGGCATTTGACTACGGCTTTATTGAGATAATTTCAGGTCCTTTACGCGTTGTTGTGGACGGTGGAAGTTCCGCTCGATGGGGATCTAACGAGATGGTAACAATTGATGGTTCTCTGAGTTACGATGAAGATGTTGGGCCTGGAAGTCACTCTGGGCTCAATTTCACTTGGTCATGCCGCGCTCAAGGGCAAAATGCATCAATGAGCTATGACTGCTTTAGTGCTTTTTCTCAGAGAGGAGATTTGAATTTAACTTCCGTCACAATAGACACCAGTGTTCTCGAAGTAGGACATAGCTACATTTTGCAGTTAACTCTTTGGAAAGATGTAAGAAGCTCATCTGCTGAAATGACTTTTGAGATAAACACCATTAACTTATGAATTTCGAAATGGTGACGATCCAATTTCCTACGGTATTTCCCCAGTTTCTCCGAAAACAGTATTGCCTGCAGGAGATCCTGAAAACAACTATAAGATAACAATTAATGTTGTCATTAAAAATGCAGTTGGGGTGAAGGTGGTTTACTCGTTTGAAATAAAGGTGAGATAAGTAATAGTTTAAGATATCTGTATTGATAGAGTTTGATGTAGCTTAAACCACTAGTGTCGCATATTCCATCTGCCTAAAACGGTCAATGTCGATCAGGACGACAATCGACTTTAACAGGGTTTAACGATCAGTAGCCTCACTGTCGACATTAATACCATGCATTAGAAACATATGAATAAGCAATGAGGTGAAATATAACACTTTGATGCTGCATTGTTGACTTCAGCCAGATTCCGATACTAAAAATATTTAAACTCATAACACTTACGTCTAACTTCTACTGTACATGTAATGTCTATCTCTTTGCATTTCAATTTGAGGCATTGAAATTGGACTACAGTCTTAACTGTGATGGATTTGAAACTTACACCTTATGTATGTAAGTCTTGACTGATTTTTTCAGGTCACGCCGTCTTCAAAACTTGATCCTTGCCAATCGTCATTGGAACAAGTCACCAGCGAATTAGAAAACTTACTTCTCGGGCCTGAAAATGAAGTTGACGAATTTCTATTTAAAGGCGAGATAAGTCAGGCCGCGCAGCTTTCGTTATCGGTCCTGGCCTCAGCTAAAGAAAAAACAGAGTGTGGACAAAACGTTCCTGCTGATATTCAGTACCAGGTGAGAAAAGTGAATCAATGTAGTTAAGCTTCAAGACACTTCTGATCTATTGTCAGTGTTCCCATAAAAACTCTCGCGTTCCTTTTCATGCGCCATGAAAAAAGGAATGTCTAGTAGCCGGAGGTAGTTGTTGGCTTCACACTAGAATTCAAGCTAGTTTTTCAAGTAAACACTCGATTCAAGTCTTAAAAACATGACTTCACACTTCTCGACAAAGTATATTGCTTGAAGTATTAAAAAGCTGTCAAACTCTCCGTTCTTTAGAATCTTGGAACCGCTGCACGTAAAGATCGTGCACATGGGTTCTACTTCTTATTGGCCAAGTGTGTTCTCAAGTGTGGGGTAGACCATACGAACGTTTCCATGCCCACCAAGTCAAGTTGAAGCGAATAGGTAATTCTACCCCTTTACACTCAAAGCAGGTTCCAAGTACACTTACATTATACTTGAAGCTCTAGTGTGAAGCCAACCAGTATTCCGATTCTTGTGGAATCTAGAAACGTTTCCCGCTTTGCTTGATTCTTCGACGTACTGACCCACTTTACTTTAGTGCTTCAAGCAAGTGTTATGATATTCTTTCCAGATAATGTGTGCTATTGTAACAAGGTTTACAGCGATACCTCCTGAGAGCCTACAAATGTCTCTCCTGTTTGGGTCAGTTGTAAAGGCAGCAACGGACGACAGTCAGCTTAAATGTGATGGATTCAATGTTTTGGTAAGTTTTAAACGAAGAAAAAAATCTTGTCGTAATATAGTCTATTTCTATAATTTTGAATATCATTTTCTATGGCCGTTGGCTCTCTCTTGGCTCTCCTTCCATGTAAGGCTGATCCGTATATCATTATGTAAATATTTCCAATAAAACCTTAATATCTAAACTTAGAGTACATGCTGGATGTAAGATTGCAAGATGCATACTCTTCTCCAACATAACTATAAAAAGTTGTGACATTTATTGTATCTCGCTCTTTTAGGAGTCAACGAGGAAATTAACAAATTACATAAGCTTGCTCCTAGCATCATCTCTCGCAGATGTGGAGGAACCGTTCTCAGATGAGATTCAGGATGCAGCTGCAACGACAACAGAACTTTTGGGAAATGTTCTTAAATCAGCATCTTCTACCGATAACACTGGAGTGGGGGGTAACGTCTCACAATCCAAGGTGAGAAAGTGATACGCGAAGTAATCACTGATCCCAGCATCTGACAACCGAATGGCTAACCATTTGCGTTGGTACCCGACATTAGATTAGTTAACCGGGATTTGATTCCTGTCCAACCAATTCTCGGCGTCCTCGTAAACAATTGAGGAGAAGGCGTTGCTTTTGTTTAGACGGCAAATAGTTAGAATTCCCTTTTAGTCCTTTCGGGTAAGGACGGAAATCCGCAAGTCCCTTCTTTCTGTACTTTCACTTTACATGAAAGGAGTGACTATGGCCAAAGAGACTCTCTGGCAGTGACAACCGCTAGTTTTACCTGTTTTTGTCCTTCAGTTGGAACACTGTAGGGGATGATCTCATTAAGTGGTAGCCCTTTTGCCCACCTTCAGGAGCCGTAATAATTGCAAATTGGGTATGACTGTGAGAGGAAGTATGAAGGATGCATTACAGAATAAGGTTGTACTTGGCCTGTCTCACCACCCAGCTTTGGTTTGTCCCATACTCGCGACGAGTATGGGAACGACCTCCTTTCATGACATTCACTCGCTAATACTTACTAGTAATCCAAACGCGAAAATAATTACTAGTTTGATGATACAGAAAACACATGGGCATAAGCAATAGATAATACTGGGACAAAGAGGGAACAGAAGTCTAATTACTGGGACGTCCGTACATTGTAATAAATAGTTTGAAACGTCATCAAGTCCACGCGCTAATGCCTCGAAGCACACAATGCAGAATATTGCGGTGGCGACTGTTAAATTCTCTCTTGACGACATTAAATTAAAGTTTGCCGACCTTCCTGGAAACCAACTTCTGATTAACTTAGCGTTTAAATGGTCTAAAAATAACTCTGATGAAATTCCCATACACCAATGGCTAGGCAGGGCATTCCCTCTCTGTGTCCCATTGTTCTTGGCATAAGTTCATTATTTTTTGCCATGGCAATAGAGCTTTCCCGTGCATCACAGCTTCAAGAAAACTTTAAAAACCGCGGTAACTTTTTCTTGTGATGTGTTGAAGCCTTTTTTTTATAATTTTTTATGCTTACTAGGAAATTATTTTGGGGGGGGGGGGTTGTTGCCCGATTTACAGTAATTAGGCCTTACAAAATCCTACACTGCAGGTGTCACTAGCAAGACGTTCCTTGTTCTTGTCGTTGTTGTCCCTTCAAGGATTTTACTAGCAGAGAAAAGTTATATTCCGTCCAATATTATTTTATCATTGGCAACACAATACCCAATTCTGTACCTTACACTGACTCCTAGGCTGACGCAGAGGACGCTCTACAACAAATTAATGACATCGTCGACTCCATCTCATCTCGGTTAGTAATATCTGAAAGACTGGACATAAAGAAGAACGACTTATCGATTTCACTGAGAAAGGTTGATTCAGATCACCTCAATGGGCTTAGTTTAGAAGAAGGACTTACACAGTTTGCATTTCCGAGTAATCTAAACCTTAGTGCTGACGGCGAAGTAAATGCCAAGGTAAAGAAAATAAAACTATAATCTTTTATAATTATGATAACATTGGTTTACAAGTAAATTCCATTTTGTACCGTGTCTGTTCTTTTCCGCGGCGCTAAAATGTGGTAGGAACAATTGTAAGAATGACATCTGTAATTGATTCCACAAATCCCTAAAAACCATGGTAGTAAACCGTGACTTTAAATGGGCGTACCACATTGCTAAAGCATATAGTATAAGTGAAGTTTTACAGGTACAATTTATTTACCAAAGGTCAGGCTATCGAAGATGCTAACTATGCTGCGCGTTGTAAAACGTTTTTGCGGTGGACATCGCTTAAAGGCACTTAGTTTTTTAAGCCAAAGTAAAAAAGTTAAAACTATTTCTTAAGCCAACCTTTCGAACGTATCGACGTAAGCGAAAGAACCACATATTTTCAACGTAAATGTTATGGTTCAAATTCAACCAATCACGTTAAAAGACGGTTAAATTAAATTATTTCCAATATTTTCTTTTAGATGATGACTTTTAATTTCAACCCATTTCCTGGGGACTCAAGTGGTGCAGCTATCACATCTAGCGTTTGTAGCCTGGAACTTTCAAGTAGCGGAAATGGGACGTTAAACGTATCGGATCTCGATGAAGACATTGAGATTGATATCCCTCTTAATCCTAGTAACGGAGAATCCGCTGAGCCAACCGGTTCTTTTCTCACCCCGAACAAGTTGACCATCCACAGCTACTTCGCTGAGCTAGCTAACGTCCCTTTGTCGCTGTTCCTCGCAGGACAAGATCAAGATGCTGTAGTAGAGGTGCTAATAAAATATGGATCAAGGCCATCGTTGGATGACTTTGATGAAAACTTCACTATCACTTTAACCGCATGTCAAAGTAATGCAACCACGATAAATGAAAACCAAACAGGCTGCGGTTCTCAATTACAGACAACGATTACGGTTACCCCTCCAGAGCAAAGTTTAATTTACGTGGGAATCTTGACATTTGGCGAGAAAAATGTCACTGAGCACTCCAGAAAAAGACGGTCCTGTTTTGGAGGAGGTAGACAAAAACGATCGTGTATTGGTGTTAAGGATCCGCCCCTAGAAGGCTTTAACAAGTCTGTCATTCCAAAGTATGATCCATTGACAGATGTAAATTACACTTTGACAATGAGCCAAGCAAATTGTTTGTACTGGTCTACTACGATGGAAAAGTGGACGTCCGATGGATGTAAGGTAAGCTATCGTCGAGATATCGATAAAGCATGGTTTATTGAGGATAAAGAGCATCAAATCCTTATTAGGCAATAGAGCGTTTTAACATGACGTCACGGCCGCTATTTTGGTGATTCAAAACAATGAAACGGCGGCCGTGTCGGTGTTGCAAACCATTCCTGTGGGAGTTCAACTCTTTCTTTTATGTAAACGCTTTTTTAGTGTATAGATGCTGGTCACGTGGGTTAAAACACTCTGTAAGTCCAAATGGAAACCCTTACAGTTTTGATGGATGGTTAGTCACTCTGAAATTTATATGAATCCTATTCCTTGGAGATTAGTCTACCATCACAAATTAAACAACACGTGGGTTAAAGTTATCATTCTATTGGGTCCTTATTTGGTCTTTCGTGCCTTAGGTTGGCCTTGGCTCTGACAAAAAGAAGCTGAAGTGCCTTTGCAATCATTTAACAGCGTTCGGAGGAAACTTTATACAGGCGCCAAATCCCATAGATTTCGACAAAGTGTTCGTGGAATTTACAAGACTAGGAGAAACTGGAAACGTAGCCGTGTTGATAACGATATGTGTCGTGTTCCTCCTTTATTTTGTGGTAACTGTCTTTGCAAGACGAGTGGACAAACGTGACGAAAATAAGGTATGAAAATAGCTCCGATCCATAAGAAATAAATGACATGCTCTAGAAATATCTAGTGCAAGAAGTAATTTAAAATTTCCAAACTAGCGTTTACTTTACCAACAATCGGCGACAAAATGAGTTGAGACACTTCGCCCAAAAGTAGGCTTTTTTACGATTTATGAACTTCAAAAGAAGGAAATATAGCTTTCCTCCCCCATCCCGTCTATACAATGTTGAGCCCTTGTTCTAGCTACCTATAGCAAACAACAAACACCCCAACTTTGAGGGGTGCGGATTCTTTTGTTCTCCGTAGTCACCCTATTTAAGTACAATTTCTCAACAATTTTGTCGCCGATTGAAGATACTTCAAAAACAATTAGTAAATATATATAGCTCGAAGAGGCAGCGTGGCGTCGCACTCGCAATCCTGCAGTCCCGGATTCGGGTCCCGCTCCGACCACAAGCTGGTTTTGTTTCTCTTGAGCGTAGGGGATCAGGAACGAGATTGGTTAATAGCCTGGATATAGCGAAATACCGACCCAAAAACTGGCATCTTGAGCATAACCCTTTCAGTACCCGAGATAGGCGTTGTATACTAAAAGGTCCAAGAAGCTAAGGTCGTAGTAGGTCCTTTGAACGTTACTTTTTTTATGACAAAATATTACAACTTCAATCAAAGTAGAATTACGAACTTCCAAATAAGGACATCTGCTGTCAAGTGTAACCAACAGATATGCTCCAAATATGGGGTCTATCTTGTATGCCTTCTCTTCTGATGCTTCTCATAAAAAGTAAGACTTGGACTGGAAAAAAAATATTCAAAGAAGCGGCTAAAAAAAGACGTCTCAAGATTGGCCTGGACTGGACTGGGTAGGGGTATCAATATACCCCTAGCGTTCCAATAAGTGACTACAATGGAACCTGTGAAAGGAAAAAATACTAGTGAGGGTTCTAAAATTTATTTATTGGCCATGTGAAAATAGGATGGGTAAATAAATTAATTAACCCGGAAAAACGTACCTTTGGCCAATCTTTTAAAAACCTGAAAATAATCATTGAAAAACCAATGAAAGACCTTCGTTATGTGGTTGGTAAGAAAGCATTGTGACATAACATTTATCTGGCTATCCACAACATGTAAATCATTCTGATATTCTATTTTGCGACGTTTTCGTCCCTTAGATTACCCCTCCGAGGACCGTAGTAGTTAATGAAGGCGGAAGCTATGTCTACGAAATGGTGATACGTACAGGTGTTTGGAAAGATTCAGGTTCTACTGCGAACATATCACTTTGTATAGACGGCAAGATGGACGAAAGCAAGGAAATCCATTTGCGACGTAGGGGAGAAAAGCCTGAACTATTTTCCCGTGGTGGTGTTGACGGTTTTGTGCTAACAACCAGTAACACTTACGGACCCCTGAAGGCAATAACGTTATCTCATGATAACTCTGGCAACGATCCATCGTGGTTTCTTGAAACGTTGATCATAAAGGATAAACAAACTGGGGAAGTGTGGAATTTCTTAGTGAATAGGTGGCTTGCTGTTGAAAAGGGTGATGGTCAAATACAAGTTACAGTGCCATGTTTCAACACAAGTGATTTTGGATTCTCAGATCAGGTGCGATCGATGGCCCCTCGAATTTTAGCCGATAGTCATATTTGGTTGTCAGTTGTTGGCAAAGCATCGAGCAGCACATTCACACGAGTGCAAAGAGTGTCTTGTTGCCTTTCCGTTCTTTTTACTGCCATGATCGCAAACGCCATGTTCTACAATATTGGCGGGGAATCACTAGCGGCAATTCGGGTTGGACCATTTAAGTTCTCGTGGCAGCAGATCGTCATAGGAGTTCAAAGCGGAGTGATTGTTGCGCCAGTGAACATCCTGATTGTACTACTCTTTCGCTTGAGCAGGCCAAGGCAGCGGAGAGATGATAAATACAAAACTGGCACGGATTCATTTCATCTTATTGAGGAGGCGAGGAAATCGAGGTTTACACTGCCCCACTGCTTCATCTACATCGGATGGTTCCTTTGTATCACCACGACACTAACAAGTGCCGCTTTCACGCTTTTTTACAGCCTTATGTGGGGAAAAGAGCTTGCCGAGCAATGGCTTGCATCCATAATGACTTCTCTAGCTGAGGATATATTCGCTGCGCAGCCAATGAAAGTGTTACTAGTTGCTTGTGTAATATCCTTGTTGACAATCCGACGAAAAAAGGGGTGTAACGCTGCAGTTAGAGATGCAGAAACCTATGGACAAATGAGCGATGGCGAGTTCGATGATGATCCAAAGAAAACGTTGAGACGTTATGAACTTTCAAAGATGCGCGACAACAAGAAAAAGGACGTGAAACTACTAGGAATGATGAGACAAATAATTCTGCATACCTTATTCGTATTCCTCATGGCCATCACTTGCTATGGGAACAAAAACAACAACCGCTTCCTAATGACAGCAGCGGTGAAGCAACCGTTTCTAAAGTTTGACAAGGTAATTGCCTTTTCTTTCCGAGAGAAAGCCAATGATTCACAATTTACAGAATTACATTAGCAACTAGAGGTAACAGGTACACCCTGACAAGTACTAATCAGATCATAGGTTCTACTCCTATGGGGAATACTTTTGGATTTTTCCTTCCGAAACGCCTTTGTCAGTGACTGAAAAATTATCGTTCTCATGTTTTCACCTGATGCTAAACATTAAGCAAAAAAACATATATATGTAAGCCATGGCTTAAAATCGTTGTTAAAAGTAAAATATCGCTAGAATGTCAAAGCGACGAGGGTGGATAAGAGTTCACGCTTTTTTCTCCATGTACAAGCCAAAGGGAAGCGGAAATTGAACTAATTACTATCCATGACTTTATTCTAGTATCTGGTGGTGGCATATAAAACAGGACTTTGAATGGAGCATCCCACATTGTTCCCCCTAGTTCAAAATAACAGTAGCGAAAGTGAATAGAAATTTTTTTATATAGGTCAACGTTACGTAACAAAATTATCACAATCTATTTCTTTTTCAACAGGTCACACATCCGGACGTACTGAGGGGATGGATGGATCAATTTTTCATACCAAACCTCTATGCAGGGTTCTGGTACAATAACCAAAAAGAGATTATGGAGGTTTACATACACAATAAAAAGTCTATTTTGCTGGGAATGCCACGAATGAGACAAGTTAGAATTAAGAGGAGTGAGTTCGAGTTTACTGTAAATAGAAAGATGAAGACCATATTAACTATAATTAGCCTAAAGGGACAAAAAACAATGCCACCGGATGAACGACCGAGCGCTTTAAAAAAACGTATTAAAGGAACATAAAGGGAACCTTTCAGTTGATCTGTTGACATGGCGAAAATAAAGTGCTGGCCTCTTCTTTTGCTTTGTCAGGAAAATTCTAATTATATCAGAGGGCGAAAAATTTAGAAACCGCCATCTCGCCTAAATCGGCTTTTTAAGAACACTTGTAAATAACCTTCACGCACAGCCGACTTTCTTAGTGACTTCTTATAGGGATTATTAATTGTTTATATTTTTCTTTAGTTGACTTTTTGACTTTTTTTTGAAGGCACTTGTGGAGTTCTTAGTTTCATCAACCCGCACTGCTATTATGACTACACTTTCGAAAACGAAGACAAAACCTTCATGAGTCTTCCGGGATGGAAAGAACTGCCTGTAAATACGACATGGCCTGATTCACTTAAGATGTGTCCACGACCATGGCGATACCAGAGTCCAGAACATCTTGGGAATGCTCTACCGACATGGGGAACTTTCAAGCTGTATAGTGGGGGTGGATACATAGCTGCCATGGGATATAACGAAGAAACTGCAGGTGGGGTAGTCAATGAATTACATGCTGAGGGATGGATTGATCAACAAACCAGACTTGTAGTTATTGAATTCACGGTTTTCAACATCAACACAAACCTAGTCAGCATCGCTTCTTTCTTCTATGAGGTTCTAGCTACTGGGGCTGCGTACACAACCAAGAAAGTGGAAACACTGGAGCTGTATAGTACAGAATCAGGCGCTCGAGAATTTTATCTCATTTGCCAGTTTCTCTTCATGTCTACGACACTTTATTACTTCGTATTGCTCCTGGTTAATCTTTTTCGCCAACGAATCAGCTTTTTTAAATCCATATGGAATTTAGTTGAATTTTTGCAAGTTGTTTCTTCTGTGACAACAGTAACATTCTACATGCTCAAAGCTAAAAGTATTTTAAGAAGTGTTAAAGCAATACAGTCTAATCCCTACGCAATCATTAACTTTCACACTGCACTGTCTTGGGCTGAGTGGGAAAATGCATCTATTGCTGTCGCCGTATTCATGGCAACGTTAAAGTTTCTCAATCTTCTTCGGGTTAACCCCCACGTCATATTTTTATTTTCATCTTTTCGCCAATCTGTTGGTCATCAATTATCCTTTATGTTCATTCTCCTGTTAATCTTCAATTCCTTTGCCATGTCAGGAATACTGATTTTTGGTGGGTCCATGTACGTGTATTCTAGTTATTTAAGAGCCACAGTAGGCCAATTTGAATTTCTGTTAGGTAAAGCAGTGCCGGTAGAAGGTCTTCGAGCTGAAAATAGAATTATCGGTCCCATATTTGCCCTGTTTTATGTGCTAACTTTGACCATTTTCCTCATGAACATGTTCATCTCTATGCTCAATGACGCGTACTCTGGTGCAAAGACAAATGTCGAAGATAGCGCTGAAGATCTGGAACTCTCACACCATCTTGAAGAGCGTTTGTTAGAACTTATGGGGGAAAGGAGAGGCGGACGTGATCTTACAAAGTTGTTCTGTGACGAAGCAATTTTCGTGAACATGTTCAGCTCCGAAGCAGAGCCATTCTGCAAGAATACTGAACGAATTCTTCAGTGCACATATGAGCGATTGATTAAAGTAGATCAGCGAATTGCCAAGCTTATTCGAATGACTGAGACGGAAGAAAACGGTCAGCTTGAGGAAGACCGTGAGCTTATTACCCTCATAAGTAAAATTATCTTCATTCCCCAAACTTGTGAGACTCAGGCTCAGGTTGCCTTTATGTACTAGAGAACTTAATTAGAGAGCAATTAAGAATAAAGGGCAAGAGAGGTGTCAGTTATGCACAATGAAGGAGCTTAGCTGAAACATTAATGGAATAATAAAGACCTCGTTGCATAAGTCTCCAATGCGAAATTGTTCTCGTGTTGAATAAGTCTTTAATCCTACACTTACAGACGGTTTGTTTGTGCAATGTTGATTTTGCTGTACCTTTTATTTCTAGCTAACAAAAAGTATGAGCGTAGATGATCGAGATATGTAGCCTTAGTCTAAAAACACCTATTTTCTATCTCAAAAATCATTACTTGAAAACCTTATTTCTAAGCCTATTTGCACTAAACCATAATTTACCAAATTGTACGATTGTGGGACCTTTTAAGAAAGCTATTTATTATAGCCAAAGAAACGCCTATTTTCTATCTAGGACATCAAAAGACCTTATTTTGAACCCATTTTGCTCTAAAACATAAGGCGGAAAAGCTGTTTTTCTATCAAGAATGTCGCCAAACATTCTTTTTTACCAATTTGGCCAAGAAAAGTAAAGGTGAAGAAATTTCACATTTTAGACGGAGATCATGGACTTACACCTTTGCAAAAATGCAAATTTTGAAACTTTTTAATATGAACGTTTTTGTACTCTAGATAGGCTATTCTTCTATCTTTCTCTATTTTCAACTTTGAAGCCATCCTACGAAAACATTGATATTAGGAAAGTTGCACAATTTGCTTTTTTACAACACGGTTATTCCATGATTTTGGTCACAAATTTCAAGCTTCCTCACCTTGACTTTTCTTATTCATAATCAAATTGATAAAAAAAGTGTTTAGCGAAAGAAAGAAAAAACACTTCCAAGACTACAAAAAAAGCAGATATTAGAAAGCTGAAAAATTTGCATTTTTTTCCAACAAAGGTTATAGTCCATGAATTTCGTCAAAAATTTGAAGTTTCTTCACCTTGAATTTTCTCCTTTAAATTGATCAAAAAGAGTCTTTAGTGACCTTCATGACAAAAAAAATCCTACTCTAGATTTAAAAAACTTGATATTTCGAAGCTTAAATTTTTTTTTATTTTCTGAAGGGGTTAGCCCATAAATTTGGTTACCTTGTTTTTTCTCGTTAAAATTGATCAAAAAGAGTGCTTGGCGACATTCAGGTGTTAGTCCATGATTTTAGCCAAAAATCTGAAGATTCATAAACTTCACTGTTCTTGGCCTAAATTGACGGGAAAAAGTGTTTACGACGTTTGTTGATAAAAATAACAGCATTTTATTAGCAAGCTGAAAATCTTTATTTTTGCAAAGTGGTAGGTCTATCATTTTCGTTGAAAATTTAGCATTTAATTCCTATCACTTTTCTCGGCCAAATACATTAAAAGGAGTGTTTGGCGACCTTTTTTATGGAAAAATAGCTTTCCTAGAATACAAAAACATTGATATTAGCAAGTTGCAAAATTTCTATTTTTTGTAAAGGGGTTAGTCAATAATTTTGGTCAAGCATTTCAAGTGTCCTCACCTTGTTTTTTCTAGTGCGAATTGAACAAACAGAATGTTTACCGACATTCTTGACACAAAAAACCTTTCCTAGACTACAAACGTTGCTATTTGAAACCTGAAAACCTGAAACCTTGACTTTTTTCTTTTAAATTGACCAAAAAAGACTACAAAACGTTGATATTTGAAAGCTAAAAAAATTCCATTTTTAAAAAACGGGTTAGTGAAAGCATAATTTTGGTCGAAAATTTGAGATTTCTTTACCTTCACTTTATTGATAAGTAAGAAAGTTTGCCAATGTTGAAAAATTTGCATTACTTCACTTTTCTCGGTTAAATTGATGAAAAAGACTGTTGACCGTCTTGATACAAAAACCTTTACTAGACTACAAAAACGTTCTTTGAAAGTTAAAAAGTCTGCGTTTTTGGCAAAGGGGTTAGTCCATAACTTTGGTAAAAAATTTCAACTTTGCTTACCTTACCTTTCTGGGTCAAATTGATCAAAAAGAGTGTTTGGCGACACTTTTGACAAAAAAACAACTTTGCTGACTACTAAAAGGATGATAATTGAAAGTTGAAAAATTTGTATTAATTGCAAAGGGGTTAGTCCATGATTTTGGTCAGAAATTTGAAGTTTCTTTACCTTGACTTTTTTCTTTTAAATTGACCAAAAAATACTACAAAACGTTGATATTTGAAAGCTAAAAAGTTTCCATTTTTAAAAAACGGGTTAGTGAATGCATTATTTTGGTCGATAATTTGACATTTCTTTACCTTCACTTTTTTTGGCCAAATTAAACAAAAAAGTGTTCGGCAATGTTCTTGATAGACAAAGAGCTTTTCTAGACTAAAAGAACATTGATATTAGAAAATTGCAAAATTTGCATTTTTTTGAAAAAGGGGTTAGTCCATAATTTTGGTCAAAAATTCCAAGTTTCCTTACCTTTCTTTTTTCTGGTACAAATTGCTCAAAAGGAGAGTTTAACGACAGCCTTGACACAAAAAAACCTTTTGTAGACTACGTTAACGATGATAATTAAAAATAGAAAAATTTGAAATATTTTGCAAAGAGGTTAGTCCATTATTTTGGTTGAAAATTTGACATTGCTTTACCTTCACTTTTCTCGGCTAAGTTGATCAAAAAAAGTGTTTGGCAATATTCTTGATAGAAAAAGAGCTTTTCTAGACTACAAAAACGTTGATCTTAGAAAGTTGCAAAATTGCCATTTTTTGCAAAGGGGTTAGTCAATAATTTTGGTCAAGAATTTTAAGTTTCCTCAGCTTGTTTTTCCTAGTCCAAATTGATCAAAAAGAATGTTTAGCGACATTCTCTATACTAAAAACCTGTTTTTACCCTACAAAAAAATAATAATAATTGGAAGTTAAAAATGTGCATTTTTTGCAAAGGTGTTAGTCCATGCTTTTGGTCAAAAATTTAAATTTTCTTTCCCTTCACTTTTCTCGGCCAAATTGATCAAAAGGAATGTTTGGCAATGTTCTTGATAGAAAACGAGCTTTTCTAGACTGAAAAAACATTGATATGAGAAAGTTACAAAATTTGCATTTTTGACAAAGGGGTTAGTTCATACATTTGGTCAAAAATTTAAAGCTTCCTCAACTTCTTTCCTCTGGTTTAAATTGTTCAAAAATAACTTTTAATGACCTTCTTGATACAAAAAACCTTTTCTAGACTACAGATAAGTTGATAATTGGAAGTTGATAATTTTTTGCAAAGGGGTTAGTCGATGATTTTGATCAAAAATTTGAAGTTTCTTTAGCTTCACTTCTCTCGGCCAAATTGCTCAAAAAGAGTGTTTGGCAATGTTCTTAATAGAAAAAGAGCTTTTCTCGACTAGAAAAACGTTGATATTAGAAAGTTGTAAAGTTGCCTTTTTTTGCCAAAAGGGTCAATAAGGGGTCAATAATTTTGGTCAAAAATTTTAAGTTTCTTCACCTTGTTTTTTTTAGTCCAAATTGATCAAAAACAATGTTTAGCGACATTCTCTATACTAAAAACTTGTTTTTACCCTACAAATAAGCTGACAATTAAAAGTTGAAAAATTTTCATTTTTTGGAAAGGGGTTACTCCATGATTTTGGTCAAAACTTTGAAGTTTCTTTACCTTCATTTTTCTCGGCCAAACTGATGAAAAATAATGTTTGGTATTGTTCTTAATAGAAAATGAGCTTTTTTGGACTGAAAAAACATTGATATTAGAAAGTTGCAAAATTTGCATTTTTGACAAAGGGGTTAGTTCATACATTTGGTCAAAAATTTGAAGTTTCCTCACGTCGTTTTTTCTAGTCCAAATTGATAAAGTTGACAATAAGAAGTTAAAAAATTTGCATTTTTTTGGAAAGGGGTTAGTTCATGATTTTGGTCAAAACTTTTAAGTTTCTTTACCCTCACTTTTCTCGGCCAAATTGATCAAAAAGAATCTTTGGCAATCTTCTTGATAGAAAATAAGCTTTTCTAGACTAAAAAAGTTGCAAAATTGTCATTTTTTACAAAAAAGTGAGTAAATAATTTTGGTCAAAAAATTTGAAGTTTCCTCACCTTGTGTTTTCTGGTTGGAATTGTTCAAAAAGAATGCTTAGAGACTTTCTTGACACAAAAAACCCTTTATACACGACAAATAAGTTGATATTTGGAAGTTGAAAAATTTGCAATTTTTGCAAAGGGGTTAGTCCATAATTTTGATCAAAAATTTTAAGTTTCTTTACCTTCACTTTCCTTGGCAAAATTTTCTACACTACAAATAAGTTGATATTTGGAAGTTGAATAATTTGCAATTTTTGCAAAGGGGTTAGTCCATAATTTTGATCAAAAATTTTTAGTTTCTTTACCTTCACTTTCCTTGGCAAAATTTTCTACACTACAAATAAGTTGATATTTGGAGGTTGAAAAATTTGCATTTTTTGCAAAGGGGTTAGTCCATAATTTTTGTCAAAAATTTCAAGTTTCTTTACCTTCACTTTTCTTAGTAAAATGTATCAAAAAAAGTATTTGGCAATGTTCTTGATAGAAAATGAGCTTTTGTAGACTAAAAAAAAACATTGATATTCGAAAGTTGCAAACTTTGCATTTTTCACAAAGGGGTTAGTTCATACATTTGGTTAAAAATTTGAAGTTTCCTCACCTTGTATTTTCTAGTCGAAATTGGTCAAAAAGAATGTTTAGCGACACTCTTTATACTAAAAACTTTTTTACCCTACCAATAAGTTAATAATTGGAAATTGAAAAATAAACATTTTTTTGCAAAAAGATAATTCCATGATTTCGGCCAAAAATTTGAAGTTTCTTTACTTTCAATTTTGAAGGGCTAATTGATCAAAAAGAGTGTTTGGCAATGTTCTTGATAGAAAATGAGCTTTTCTGAACTAAAAAAAACATTGATATTACAAAGTTGCAAAATTTTAATTTTTTACAAAAGGGTTAGTTCATAATTTTGGTCAAAAATTTGAAGTTTCTTCACCTTGTTAATTGATCAAACGATTGTTCAGCGACATTCTTTATATTA